AAAACCCATTAAACACCCCCCCCCCCCCCCCATCCCCCAAACACAAATGGCTTCAAAAAGCACTTTAAAAAGTTTATACAAAATTTAAAAAAAAATCTTTCCTCAACCTGGCTTCTGGGAAATGTGGGTGATATTAATGTGCCTCCTCTATGAGCTTGACAAGTGAAATACACAAGAATGCAAAGGATTGGAGAGCATTTTCGGGGGATCATCACTACCCAGTTCTTCTGAGAGGCACAGTGATGTCATGAGTGCCTCGTAAATGGGTCAGAAACCGACCCATTGTAAGTATGTAATCTTTTTTGTATAAACTTTATTTAAACACGAATAACAATAATACCTGGTAGGGGCTCTCAATCTTCCCCACTCTATCTGAAACGAAAAAAACCCACATTTGTACACTTTAACACTACAATTGGACGAGGCAAGAATTATGTACTTTATTATCGATATTTGTCTATAAGCGTATACTAGTTTGGTTAATGATAAAAAAACAAACATCACTCATGTTACTCAGATGATTTTTGGACTCAGGATCTGTTGTTTTTTTTCTTAGGATACATGGTTCTAGAAGACAACGTGCTAGCTTTCCTTCTGATACCATAGGATCTCCTCTCCTAAGGGCTAGTTCACACCAAGTGCGTTCCAGATGCAGAGCAGAGCAGTTACAAAACGGATCAAAACTGTGTCCAATGTATTTCAATGGTATTTTGGGCTCTAGTTCACACCGCAGCGTTCAGTTCCAGAGCATGTACAAAAAACTGCAGAAAGCCCTATTTTTCCTGCTCTGGAATGCTATGAAACGCATGCAAATGCCTAAAAAACACATGCAAACACCCTGGAACGCACTTTTTTTGTCAAGTGGAGACCCAGATAACAGTAATAACCCAAAAGGGGTTAGGAACCCCTGGGGCTCTTTTTCCTCTCTTCCTATGTCTGTGACACCCTAAGCATAATTAGTTCAATTACCTCTTTGCTTTCACTGGGGTTTATCCTTTATGTATGTCTATAAACAATCTCTACCAGGGAACCAGTAGTAGATTGTTCATAGGCATGAATGAGCCTATGTATGACAGATGCATAGTGGATGACAGCCTTTAGTCGATTCTCCATAAAAATGATTGGGAAACACTCAAAGGCCAATTGAACCGTCTTCATTTATTATGAAAATGCAATCATATTTATTATTGTATCTGCAGACAGGCTGCACCCTTAATTGGAGCATTGTGCAATGAGGCACATTGGACACATTTATACAATGACTGCTGGGTTGTAGGTGAGAGCAGCAATTCGACTCTCTAGCATTCTGGGGTGTTTTAATCCTTGCTACAGCATTTTGACAATGACAAGCATATTTATAAAGCCTATCTGCATTTTAGTAAAAGTTGAAGAAGGCGCAGTCGGGCTTTAAGAGTGGGGAAATAAATAATACATCTCACATTATTGCTTTGGGTGACACTTGGACAGGAAGTGAGAGGAAATCTCCCCAATGGGCACACAGCTAACAATAAAAACCCAACAAAGAGTCTTGACTTCTCTTTTTTATGAACGGACAAAAGGATATTTGAATGAAAACACGTTGGAAACTGATTGATTCTTACAGGAAACAGAGAAGTTTCTTCTTTCAGGTGTTTGTATATATGGGGTCTAGTGTGTCTACTGTCTACCCATCACAATCTGTTATCATGGCTGACCTCACATGCGTTGTCTTTGTCTGCAGGGTCACTGGAGGAGAGCTGTTCGAGGATATCGTTGCCAGGGAATATTACAGTGAAGCAGATGCCAGGTCAGTGCGCTCGGCAAATAACAAAGGTCATTGCAGAGTTTGTATTTTTATTTTTTCTCTCTTCGAAGCAGCAGTCTGACTCAGCAGAGTAAGTGAACTTGTCATTCATCTTTGAAACAAAGCCTAAACTGAATTGTGCTCCCAGAGTCAAAACCTAATTGGCAGATACATTTATTTATATACTGTATATCATCAATGAGAAAACTGACTTGCAGTTCTGCCCTTCATGACGTATTGCCATTCTTTTAAGGAGATCTCCAGGCTTGATAACTAAACAGAATCTGGAGCAGCTGGGCATGCTAACCAATCAGCTTCTAGCTTTCATTTTAACACTGGGTTCACACCTAGGCGTATTGAATATGCGCGTCTGTCGCGCAGTTCGCGTTGCGCGTTTTTACAGCGATTCGCGGTAAAAAATCCGCGCGACAAACGCGTGTTTCCGTGGGCTAATTGGCTGTATCCCAATGGAAACGCAAGACCAAAACGCCCCAAAGAAGTACATGTACTTCTTTGGGCGTAGGCCGTTTTGTATCGCGTTCGGACGAGCGGAAATACGGCAAGGTGTGAACCAGACCCATTGAATACAATGGGATTTAGATGTTTGAGCGTTTTGTAGAGCGTTCGTCGAGCGTTGAACGCGCTACAAAACGTTCAGGTGTGAACCAGGCCTTAAAGCTTAACTGAACAAACTGAAGCTAGAAGTTGATTAGTTATTATGCACAAATGCACCAGCTTCTGTCCAGTTTTATTAAAGTCCATCCATTGTTTTACTTTTTGTACTTTCATGTTTTCCCCTGATGAATGTTATGCAGATCGGAGAGCAAACGTCATGTGACCCATGGCTGTCATGTGTGTCTCTTCCTCCACTGGCTCTTCATGTGACCTTAATTTGTGACTTATAGGTTGACACAGGGTCCCCGTTATCAGGTTATTGCAACAATTATGAGGATAATACAGAAACCTCAGCAACCAAGGGTAAAAGAGGCCACCCATCTGAGCTGCATCATTGCAGCAAATTCTATGAATAAGAATCATTGTTAAAGAGGAACTTTACCAATATCTTTAAAATAACAACAGATTATACTTTAGAAATGTTTAGTAATGACAATCTACAATCACTTTGCATACCTTATTTCTCTTTTCTTCCCCAGTCTCTTGACAATAGCCATGTTTATTAAGGGCAGATTACTAGTAGTGATGGGCCAAGCAAACCCGAGTTCAGTTCGAGTTCGAACTTTCGAACATGGAAAAAGTTCGAACTCGAACTTCGAACTCAATGAAAGTCTATGGGGGTAGAACATTGAAAATCATATGTCCCCATTTTGAAGCCTTATATGCAAGTTATTAGCCATAAAAAGTGGATGGGGATCCAGGTACTGCCCTGGGAGACAGGAATCAATAAAAAAAAACACTTAAAAAAATTAACAGGGTTATTCACAAAAGGGTGAAGAGTTTGGAGAAGGCACGCGAAGTGAACAATCTAGGACAACATAGCTGATTTGGAAAAATTCTCCAATTCAGCTCACTTTCCAAATCAGCTATGTTGTCCTATATTGTTCACTTCTCCTGCCTTCTCCAAACTCTTCACCCTTTTGTGAATAACCCTGATAGTTTTTAAAGGAGCAGTGATTTTAACATTGCTTAAAGTGAAACAAAGAAATTAAAAATTCCTAGATAGAGCAGAGTAAACCTTTTCGAGAGTCGCTATCTTACAGCGGGAGACTCCCAGAACATCCGGGAGAGTTGACTCAAGGTATTGAATCAAAAAAGTCAACATGACAGCTGAGCAACTAGCATTTTTGGGAGAGCTCAGCAGTGCCAGTCTTCACCTTTCTCTAATGACAGGGGTACTACTATAATGTGGAGGACCCAATCTCACTTCTGCAAAACCAGGCCTCATCATGGTAGGAGGTTTCATTTAGGACAGGTGCAATGAAGTGTAATGGGGATATTTCCAAAAAGCTTGCTGTGTGCAGTTTATCATTTTACAAAGATACAAGTTCCTTGTTTATAGCTGTTCATTTTTTTACTGTTGTGTTCTCAAGCATTTCTGTGTTTTTTTCTCTTCAGTCACTGTATTCAACAAATCCTAGAGGCAGTACTCCATTGTCACCAGATGGGAGTAGTACACAGGGACCTGAAGGTGAGAAAACAACTACCACGTCTAGAGCTAGAACAAGATGTGCGAATTGTAATAGCTCAATCATGCTACTCAACTCATTAGTGATTAATCACTAGGCGAATTGACTGATCACTTAACAGATTAAATGTATGGCTCCCTATGGTGTAATCTACACAAGTAGCATGTAGTAGTGAATAACCTCCTTACCACATGCTACTACATACATGTGCAGCTGACCCCATAGGAAGCTATTTAATTCAACTGTATAGTGAAAAGGCGCTACTCACTAGTGACTTTAGTAGCAAAAATGGGCTGCTAGAAATCACCATCACATAGCTCTAGCCTTAGAGTGAATATATACTTTGCTGAACTAGAGTTTTTAAAGGGCTGCTTTGTTGTGGGGTAGTGATAAACCTGGGCTTGGTGGGAACTCAGTTTGCCTGAGGTTGCCTGAGGACACAGACAGGAAAATCCTTCGTGATCTACCAGCATCAGCTTTGAGAGCTACTGTTAGATCACGATCTACCTAATGGGCACCCCTACACTAGAGCAATGATTCAAGCAATAGAGTGCTGGTTTACTTTCAACAGGAGGTAACTTATTTAAAGCATTGTCAAGGCAAAAAAAAATATTTGTACATTTGCGAAATACATGCACATTTATTGTGTTTTATCCCTTGAAACATGCTAAAAGTAGAGAAAAATAACTGTGGATGTGTTAGGAAATAGTGTGCTCCTAACTTCCTTTTCGACATGATAACACAACCATGAATTCCTAAGCACATGGTGTCAACCCTGCCTAACCATTTTCCGATGCACTACAAAGAACACAACCCTCTCCTCATTTCTTCCCCCTCCACATCTCCATAACCCCTCCTTCTGCATAGACAATGAGCACAGGAAGTTATCTGCCACAAGATTTCTGGCCACATTAATTGGTATTTTTTGCACTTATTGAACAGATATAACAAAACACTTTCAATACACTTTGTATATTTATCAGACCAAAAAGTAGCAAATAAGAGAAGTATATTGTTAAGGTTTACATACATTTTAAGAATTTATCAGGATCTGCTTCTTGTACTGAGCACAGCTCTGTTATGTTAAATTATGTGGTAGTGCACCTAGTTACAAAGGGCCATTTTTCAGTTCAATTTTTCCTGCAAATGGAACACAAAAGGCACCAGAGATACAATGTAAGAATAATTAATGCGCAGAGGCAATGTGTTCCTGCAGAACAATAAAGTAACACATTTTCTTCAATCAGAAAGATTATATCCAGTTACACAAGAAACTGCTTTCACACTCCTCCATTGTAAAGGAAGTGAAAGAACTCTGTATTAATAGCTTGGCTCCTGCCAAGCTTTTCAGTGTATTGTTGTATGACGCTGGCATTAGCGGCACAATCCGTACCAATGACACAGCGGCCTGACACACACAAAAAAGGTTTCTAAACGGCAGTTTTAAAGATATTTGCTGACTACTAGCTGTTTTTGGCATGTTTCACTAAATGAAACACATTCCATTGTGGTCATCTACCATTGTCGAGCATTGGGAGGTTGTATTGAGACTTTGAAAAGAATTGGGGCCTTTGTGTGGCCACTTGTCCAAGAACATAGTGTGGCATTCACGCTTTGGACTGACAGGGCCAAGGGCATGGGTTATATTTAGAGTTCTGCTGCCAGTCTTGAACAAGTCTGGGCAGCCACAGACTGGAAGTGGGCTTGGTTTTTATATCATTCTCAGAGCTCCCCTATATAGGATTATCACGAATCACTTGATAGGCACAGTTGCTGGGTTAAGTAAAAACACAGGATCACTCAGAGTCTCTTGTGATGCAAGAAATTAAAGGTAATCAGGATAAAAATATGGGATCTGCAACTGCTGACTTGTTTCTTAAAGCCTACTTTTTTGGATAGTGGGGGAATGTAAACTTTTGACCCCACGGGTGCCGAAGGATTGGCCGAAGCTACGGCCAGATCCTTCGGCAGCTTCGTGAATAGACCCCTTTGTCTCAATTCCTGTTCCTAAAAGGCCCCTAGAAAAAAAGGGAGGTGCGGTCGTCACCAGGACCAGACAATAAATACAATGTCAGGAGTTCTAACTCTTCCTCACTCTACTAAAATTGTGTTCTTGTCTTTGTCCTTTTTGGAGAGATTTTCCATCCTTTCCTGTCCTGATGTGAGAAACATATTTCCCCAATAGGGACACAGAGGACAATAACAAACCTGAAATGGGCTCTAACCCTACTTCAATCTGTCCAAAATGAAATGTATTACTGCCTTTGGCTTCCTGTTCCAGTGACAACTACGACTACCAATCGTAGTTGTGTCACAGGGACAGGAGGTTGGGAAAATTCTCCCCAATGGGGGTCACAGACAGAAATAACAATCCAACATAAATTCTTACTCTTCTCCACTCTATTAAAAAAAGTCTGGAGTTTGGCTTTAAGGGTGAATTTTTAGATTCTTACATAAACCCACCATAAGGTGTGAGATATACAGTAGCAGAGTCATAAATATACATATTAATTTGTCCGTCACAGCTCAAGGGATGTCGAATCAAATGCTGATAACCGTTATTTAGACAATTATATATGCTAACACCAACATTTTTCAGTTTTTTATTGAAATTAAAGCAGTTAGAGTCCATTTAGTTTTTTTGCAATATCCCTCTCCAGAAAGTGTCAATTACCTGGCATAGCCCCTCCCTGCTTGCATGTCATAGCCCTCTCCTCTTTTGGGATGTTAAATTATTCTTTTTGCTGGCCCAGCTCTTCCACCCCTCGCCTCACCTTCCTACATAAACGTTTATGTGGCAGCTGCAGAAGGAGTGAGGGAGAATATTATAGAGCAGGGGTAGGCTAACTTTGTCCCTCTATCCGTGGTGCATCAACAGCCATTGCAAGATTCTGACAGCCACAGTCATGACTTCCAGAGGCAGATGCATTATAGGATTTGTAGTTTCACCACAGCCGGAGGGCCAGTTTGCCTATCTCTGCTATACAGTGTTGTTTTGCACAATGTGGTCAAAGATTCTTGCAGGAGAGTAGATAACAGTAAGGCCTTGTTCACACCAAATGCGGATCAGATCTGCATGAGTTTCTGCACACGCAGTGCAGTGCGTTTTGCCGCGTTTTTGATGCATTTTTGTAAAAGAAAAAAAAATATTTTTTTTGTGTAGCCTAAAATGAGCTTTCAGTGCGTTCCAGGGCATTTGCATGCATTTTTGATGCGTTTGCATGCGTTGCAGAGCATAGGGCTTGCTGCAGCTTTTTCCCAAGCTCTGGAACTGAACACTGCGCTGTGAACTAGAGCCCAAAATACCATTGGAATACATTGGACGCAGTTTTGATCCGGTCTGTAACTGCTCTGCTCCTGGAACACGCTTGGTGTGAACAAGCCCTAATGGGCTCAATGCTGCTGCTCCTTCTTTTTCCAACCACAGGCTGGGTCGGGTCAATAACATTGTATTGCTTAGCTAAGTGTAGTCCAAAGGAAGGTCTCAGAACTGGTAGTGCTGACTAGCAGCCGTGTCTGGATCACCAAACTTAAAACTAAAAAACCAGTTGACAGGGTTAACAGATTTAAATTTAAAATATTTATTTAGCTGTTTTCCTGTAGTTTAGCTTTAAAGTTTCTTCTGAGTCATGTAATCCGAAAATTCAGACACTTTTGTAGAATAAATTACCGCTAGATGGTACTGTTTTGTTGCTGTTTTTAGATGACATTTTATGTTACCTCACAAGCTCTCATTGATATTCATAAAAGCAAATATGCAAAGAAATATGGACTCAGTGCATAATAATTTATCACCATATGTTTTATTGAACATTTATAGAGCAATAAACACTGGCTATGGTTAGAGCACCGTTTCCCTATCAACTCTTAAAAATATCTTGCATTATATTCAGTCTATTTAAAGGTAGCCAAATCTTGTTATTTACTGCCTTTGGGATGTTCCTCTGTGTGTAAGAAATTAGCAGAGCCAGATTGGTATTGTACATACTGGCTTTGTCTTTAGCATTGGAACCTTGTAGCCCTGGGCTTCTTGGGTTTCTTCCAGCAACACTATCTGAATGGAGTTTTTATGCCGCCCTGTGATTGTGCATGTTTTCTCCAATTATTTTGAACATATTCTCTAATACTTCTGCAAATAATATGAACATATTGGTAGTTTAATTTGCTTTCACACAAAACTGGCTCTAATGTTTGTATGACTGTGAAAAAAACCCCTTCAGGAATAGGGACTGATGTGAATGGTTCAATACAGAGAACTTGTCAGTCCATCCAAGCAGATTTCAATTAAAAGTAGAGTGTAATGGGCTGGATCACCCATTGTAGTGATGCAATGACTAGCTCTCTGTCAGTCCTCATTAGAGATTTCGTTTTTTTCCAAGATGGGTTACAGCTGGCAAGTGTTACAACTTCTGTCAGGAGTTTATTGTATCTGTGCCTCTACTGGAGAGATTCACCCTCTCTATTTGTCCTGGTGACCATTATCTATGGTACATTATCTCTGGTACATCCAAAATTTTACAGTTGTCACCAGAGCAGATAGTCAGTAGGGATAAGGTTCAGGTTCACTGATACCATGGATTCATGGCAGATCCAGTGTGTTACACACAGTCCCAGCAAATAAATGTGGAAATTCACCAGACAAAATTAATTCAAAAGCAATATCACCTAGGTGGGAAGGTTTGATAAAAGTTGGCCAGCACCAAGCCCCTAGGTGGCAAGGTTTGGTAAAAGTTCATTTTGCCAAGAATACCTAATCATGTGGAAGGGAAATAGAAAAAACTGTATTTTTGCTTGCACATGATTGGGTGTTGGAAGTCAGCAGAACTTCACCTTATTCACTAAACGTCCCCTGCATAGTGCAAATTCCCTTGCAAAGTGAACAGCTTAGTTGCTTTTACTAAATCAACTCCCTTGTCTCTAATTTTGAGGGGATGGCTTTGCTGCCTTCCCCCTTGCAAGGTACCCTCCCAATGCTGAAGGCATGTGGCCTTGGATGATTTAGGAGGGAGGTAGGCAAACGTTCACTGCTCCCCTTTCTTGGCCACCCAGGCTGCATGCCAGGATAAGAGTCTTTTATCAGTATTAAAGGGGAACCTACTTTTTTTTAAAGGGGTCAGGACCCGTTAGTAGTTTGTTCACCCAATCGCCGAATTGTAAACAGGCTGGGTTCAGGTCAAGCTCATGTTCTACCCAAACCCAAAGCTCTTCCCTAATTTTTATTTCAAAATTAAACCCGCCTCACCTATCCCTGTTATTTTGCTACCTAACCAAGCTCCTTACATACTGTCAAGCCACTGAACAATATTTGTGGCAACTGTCTTTTAGATAATACACTCTAATTGTTTTACATTATAAAAACTGCTTTGTCTCTTTCTATTCACTGCTTATTTAAGTACTTGGCTCTGTCCTGATGCTGGTCAATTTTATTTTAATAAATAAATGTAATAAATAAATAAATAAATAAAAGTAAAACAACAAAAAACTATTTCACATACAACAATGTGATGTCAGAATATGGTGTCACGGACGCTGTCTGTGAAAAACGAACTGTTAACTAAACGTTAACCCCACATTTTTGAGTAAAGGATGAATACTTTTCATTGTTCACTTTATTTTTGTTTACATTATAACCTTATATTGTCTATTATCTTTAAGGTGTAAAACCTAACAATTAACTTTTTTTTTTATTTTATTTTTCTTCTTGTCTGTTAAATATACATTGAAATTGTTTTGCACGCTCACTTCAGCTGCACTGTTATTAGGCCTTCCCAGTCCACCTCTGTGAACTATAAAGAGAAGAGGGGGTGTGTTCTGTTGTCTTGTCCTAGGGTGACAACACTGCTTCTTCGTAGACACAGTACAGTGAGTGAGTGTTGTTACCTTGGGACAGGCAATGTGTTAATGGCAGAATCACCATTTCCATTTAAATCGCATCATATTCTTTCAACCGAGCTCTTCAACAACATTGAAGGTAGCAACATTCAAATAAAGTATGTCCTCAAAAACTGAAAATGAGAAATGAAGAATGTATACAAAATGCACCAGATTTTCCTTAAAGTACATGAGAAGCATTAATTCATGTAACCTAACACTGAAACATAATCCAGCATATGATTTCTTATTTTACATAACCCAGTGCTTTTCTCCATTATCTAGGTGACTTTCCTGTAAGCAGTAAAAGTCAGAGATCTCACAGGTCCTGATAATTGCCCATTACCAATGTACACCCAGTGGTATCTTGCATCATATAGCCAGCATCTGTGTTCTCTTGCCTATGGGATAACAATCTCCTTTGCTCATTTTTCTTGTGTGTGATTTCCAAGTGAGCTTTGCCTTTCAATCATCTAAGAATTTTATGAACACTCACATTTCCTGGTGGAATTATATGCCCTCATTGTGCCAGCCCTGCAATATACAGTCCTGCTCGTAGCCAGTATCGGGACATATTGATGTACTGCAGATCAGTAAGCTGGGAGAGTGTAAGATGCCAAATTAGTAAAAACCTCAAGAAGTAATTGGCACTAATCTGTAGAGCTCATACCATAATTTGAATGTTGTACGGTTTGGACTTAATTTAATTAATATGAATTTCCTAAGCTGAATCCGAACTTCAGTATTTTTTTGGTGGATCAGTTTCCCAAATGGCAATGGCTTCTGTCTTATATCTGCTTCTGCTGTTGCTGGAGCACCCTTAACCTTAACTACCAGTGCCACAAGGTCCCACCCTTCTATCTTAGTATCCATGGCATTCTGCTGATTTTTCCAGTTTGGTTTTTCAAGCCCCATCATCCCACCATTTAGGGCTGTCAGGAGCTTCCCAAACCAATCTGCACAATTTTGCATTATTTGCCACTTTGTAATACACACTGCTGGAAACTTGGTCTGGATTTCCATTGACTTCAATGGACTTTCAGTTTGGAAATCACAACTTTTTGCCGAGTCACAATTAATCTATCTTTTCAGAAGTTAATTCTTCTCTACTTATACAGTATGTTACCATGGTTTCACCCTATCCTTGGAGAGCACTCCCAAGAAGGGCCAGAGAACTTCAGGAGGTACCAGTGCAGGCCACGTGCATGGGGCACCTACAAAAATAGATTTCTGGAAAGAAATTGTAGACAAGTGATCTTTTTGCTTCTTCATGCATTATTTTAGTGTATTAACAATTTTGTATGCATATTCTGGTGCGCCTGTGTTCTCTAGTGTTTGCACTTTCCCTGCCTGCTCTGTGGCTGCAAGGCCCGGGTATCCTTGTGTGTTTGGGGCATATATGGTTATATATATATATATATATATGTATGTAGACTCCAACAATATTTGTATTATTCAACACTGAGCTGACACTGAACACCCTTTCAGCATTAAGATTTAAAGTAAACATTATGGTCGCCATTGCGGATGTCTCCTTCGTAGGATGCAAGCTGGCTGGCATGTTGAGTCACTAACCAGAGTAATCATGCAAATAAGTGCTCTTCACTTACTTTGTTAATCATCTTTTGGCTCAAAAAATATTGAAACCAGTGGGCCAGTGCCATAGCTAGTTAACTTGCACTTTTAGAAGAAGCTAAATAAGAGTAGCTTCTGTATTTATCTTGATTTACTTTAAACACAGCATAGCATATAGTTGGACAAAGAATCTGCTAACTTATAGGGGAAATTAAAAGTACAGGTGTGCTTGGTCAGTCAGTTGCCTCTGTCCCCACTCAGGGCAGTTAAAGGGTGCTGCTGATAATGGATGGTAATACTGATGAAGCCTCTCCGTTATTGTTCTCTGCAGCCAGAAAACCTGTTGTTGGCCTCAAAGCTAAAAGGTGCAGCTGTTAAACTGGCAGATTTTGGCTTGGCTATCGAAGTGGAAGGCGAGCAACAGGCATGGTTTGGTGAGTCTCTTCAGTTAAAGTCTTCCAAGTATGTTTTGTGTTTATCTGCCACACTCTAAAAATGACAGTTAAGGAAAAAGAAAGAACAAAGTGTCAAAGAAAAAAGAAGCTAGTTCAATTAGTTAAGCAACTTAAAAGAAGCTAAGCCAACTGGCTGAGGGTATGTCCCTCTCCTTCCTTCTACATGCAGGGAGGAGAGATGTGGGGGGTTTGGTGAGAGGCTCACCCCTTTACAGGGATATTTTCAGAACCACAAAAGCTGTTTGGAAAGAACTGGGAATCAAACTGCAGAATTTAATGTTTTTTTTCCCATTGCAGGGAAGTCTAGTTTTGTACTATATGGCTTTTTTTTTCCTATTCTGACATGGCTCCGTGTCAGAATAAAGAAAACAAAGAAAAAGCAGTGTTTCTCTCCTGGATGGCAGGGAGCGGGAGACTCCCAGAGCGCCCGGAAGAGTTTTTCTTTCTTTTTTTTTTGACGGCAGCAGAACCGCCGGCCAATAGAAAACTGTTGGGTGGAGCTAGCTGTCACTGCTAGCTCCGCACAATCGTTTTCTATTTATTTTTTTGTACTTTTTAAACTATTTTTCTGTTCTGCGCGGTCCCTCTGAGGGACCGAGCAGAACAGCCGAGCCGAATGCCGCTCAGCGGCATTCGGTTATTCACTCACTGCTGTTCGGCATCTATAAGAATAGCCCGAACAGCAGCGAGTAGCTGCTGAGTAGCGAATAACATCAATGTGCAATGCGGGTAGGGCACTATGGCAGGGCAATTTAAAGCTGAACTTCATTCACAAAATGCTTTATATTTCCCCAGAATGCAGGGTGTTCTGTGAATGGACAAGGGGTGGATATATGACAGGATCACCTCTGCCATTCACAGAACACCTTGCATTCTGCTAAAGAAATTCAATGAGTTTTGTGAATGGGTGAGAGGACAGAAAGGTGAGGGTGCACAGCGTGATACCCTCACAGTCGCAGCTGCATCTTTTATCCCTGCAGCAATGGAAGATCACTGTTGTGGGGAATATTCAGCATCACTGAAAGGTTTATTACATTAACCAGCAGCCAGCAGGACACAGGAGATTCTTCTTTGGCGGTAACTTATGTGGCTGGTGCTGTAGCCCCCAAATATTTTTTTTTTACTGGTGTTAAGCTTTAAATTGAAAGATACACTGAGTTACTTGTAATAAATGTATTAATAATTAAAATGTTAAACCCACATTGGCTACAGAGTAATAAGCCACCCTCCAAAGGTTACTATAAGTTTATACCATCCTCAATTAACCCCTTCAGTCTATCCTATACTGTACTTTAAGTAGGCTTATGATCAACGTTACACAGGAAGACAACATGCATTTTATACAATATAAATAAAACACGTGTTTGAATATCATACAATTGTATGTTCACGTGTTACATTACCATACTGACTGTGTACCTCCAGTGTGTTTTCTGTTAAATACAAAAATAAAAAATAATAATACATTTAAAATAGACCCCAGTTTTTCTATAGCACCATTGCCATATTTTAAATAAAATACTTGTATTGATCTTTTTTTCAGTCTTTGTTGCATCTCAGTGCTACTAATCACCCGCAATCTCCTTGCAACTACTTCTTCTCTGCAAACATGCATACAGGTGCTGGCATTTCTCAGGGCAGGTTCTCTGATGGTGACAACCAGATTCTGCCTGCATAATGCTTGTGAAAAGCCCACTTGCTGTCTCCACCAGATGCTCACAGGGTCACAACACAACAACAGAGTATTATTACCATATAAAAGGAAATGCCTGAACAAGGACCTTCATGGCAGGATCACCAGGTTTTAATGAAAGATGCATTTTTAATAGTATTAAAGATTAATGCTAATATTATATTAACACACTAAACCTCGTATGAGATCTTAGCCATTGGGTTTACATATGCTTTAAGGGCTTTTCACTAAATATAAGCTTGTTTATATCTGCCTACAGTTCTGCTTTACAGATAGGAGCAAACGCAATGGAAATGCAGTATTAAATAATAATAGAAGCTTTTACAATAAAAATATGTTATATTAATATGTACAAAATTTGGAAAGAGCAAGCTGGAGCTCTTGGCTGCCTCTTATCATGCATGATTTATGTAAAGTGGTTCCTAGAGGATTGCATGGCAGAATATGTAATGCATATTGAAGTGACATGAAAATAATACAGACATAAATCTCTAGACTGAATTATTACATAAAACATGTGGAGTGCAACAAGATATATTTTAGTTAAAACTAAAGCATACATTTTCTCTATAGCGGCAAGGAAAATGCTCTCTGATTAGATTATTTGTGTAAGTGCAAAATTAAAGTGATACAGGTAAATTATACTGTGTATGGGACCTATATACATGATTCCATACCTTGTTAATTCAGATTCCATCAGCTATTGTAGAAAATTAGTTATTATGTATGATTGCAGCTTTAGTATAAGCAAGGAGCAGTATCTGAAAGGATAATGACAAAACAGAAAAAATGGTCACCAGCACTCCACATTTTCTTCAAAACGAAATTCTTTTATTCATTTATGCAGGTCATATCACCATGTGTGGCAACATTTCGGAACCTGTCCTGTCCCTTCATCTGGCAAATTAAAGTGATCATGCCTGATTAAGGGACCGGACAGGTTCCGAAATGTTGCCACGCATGGTGATATGACCTGCATGAATGAATAAAAGGATTTAGCTTTGAAGAAAACTTGGGGTGCTGGTGACCATTTTTTCTCTTTTGCAAGTATTTGGCGGCGCCATCCGCCGCCACTTCAGCACCCCCACACATTGTATGGGGCTTCTCAGTCAGGACTCTCGTTTTGACTGAAAGGATAATTACACTCAAGAACAAACATGTAATATATTACAGCTTGGCAGTCCTTAGATGTGGTGGATAGCTTCATTAGTTTTCTTTTAAGCTAAGAACATTTTCAGCAAGTACAGACAGTGCCCAGTGATCCTGCCAGAAGTGTTGTGTCCTTGTCACTTCCTATGAGCGGAACATAAAACAAAAACAAGTTTACTGTCTTATGTAAACTGCTAAACCCCCCCACCCTTTATGTGATGAAGATGGACAGACAGATAGATTTGTAGTTAGGCCTGGGTGACAACCAGGGTTCCCTCCATAGATTTGGTGGAGGAGTGAGCATAACAACTATTTTTATTAGTATTATTATTGATATGATTAATTATTATCCACATCCCTGAAAAAATCTTATGTTCTTTCAAAGTATGCCAGAAGTAACATACATTCTATTGTCGTCATGTGCTTATATTGTACATTCTCAACGTATAAATGCTGACAGCCTGCCTTCCTTAACCCCTTAATGAAGGTAAAAGGAAAACCTTAGCAACTACACCTAGTTTTGCAACTTCGGCATGTGTTAAACTGTAAAACTGTACATATCTTTGCAAATACTGTGTTTCTTTATCCTACCTAAATATGCTGACACTAACATTGATCCTTAATATAAAACCATTTTTTATCTACCCTTAAACACATTGGGGGGAATTTATCAAACTGGAGCAGATAGAATCTGGAGCAGTTGCCCATAGTAACCAATAAGCTTCTCTCTTTAGTTTGTGCAGTTAAGCTTTGAAAATTAAAGATGAAAGCTGATTGGTTGCCATGGATAACAGCTCCAGATTCTGTCTGCTGCAGTTTTGATCAATCCCCCTCATTGACTCAAACACTCACACTAACACTACTACTGACCCTAACACTGACACTAACCTAAATCAAGCCTTAATCTAACTATTTTATCTCAGTGTTTATTTTAACAGATTTCTCACTGTGATTGGCTACCAATTGTTGTCACACAGTTTTCTATTCTTTAGAAATTTCAAAACTTTTTTTTTTTTTTACAGGATTTGCTGGAACACCAGGCTACCTCTCCCCAGAAGTGCTGAGAAAAGACCCCTATGGAAAGGCTGTTGACTTATGGGCCTGTGGTAATTTATAAATACATTCTTTGGGTTGTTGGTGTAATGGTAGTTCTTCACTAGTGGGACCACCATGAGTTTAGCGATTCTCCAGTATCTATTTTTGTAGTATCTTCTGTTATCATAGACAATAATGTAAACATTGTACCATGCTAACTGTCTGACTGCCTTTCTATTTACCATGTAAAGTCTGGATGTAAGAAGCAGTCCTATCATATAAAGCACACCAACCCTAATTTGCAAATGTGACCATACTTTGCATAGCGTTTCATAGAAAACAATAATGTGAGCTACCACCATTGCCCAACAGGGCCCAACCTCTCAATGTGTAAAAGCTGTAGTGAACTTTACTAACTGAGGATGAGCAGCCCACAACAATTCTTGGACACACCAGCCTTTCTAGCAAATACAAGAATTGCCAGATATCACCTTTATTTACAATGAATGTTATATTCTGATAATTGTATCCATTTCCTTTTCCATTAGGAGTTATCCTATACATCCTCCTTGTTGGCTACCCACCTTTCTGGGATGAAGATCAGCACAGGCTGTATCAGCAAATCAAAGCAGGAGCTTACGATGTAAGTAAATGTACAGGGCAATTCATGGTTCATTTGAAATTGAAACTAAACTCTATCTTTCAATAACTTACCAAAAACCTCACGAAACAGAAATCAGTGTTCTCTTCCAAGACATTATCTTTAAAGGTTTCCCACCCTGATTAGCTTTTGTGTGTCAAGATACAGAGTTCATTAAAGTGACACTCAACTCAGGAGTTGAATCCTAAAAATGCATTCTTCCAGGTCAGGCACTGCTACAGGAACTCAAGCTGAATTGACAGCATGGGGCAATCGTTCAACTTTTCTCATCAATTGTACTGTAAACAGTAACACAACTTGTTCTTTTCCCCTTCTATTGCTCAGTTTCCTTCCCCTGAGTGGGACACTGTAACTCCAGAAGCAAAGGATCTCATTAATAAGATGTTGACCATAAACCCCTCGAAAAGAATCACGGCTGCTGAAGCACTGAAGCACCCGTGGATTTCAGTGAGTGGATGCTTCTTTTACGTCCCGAACCCTCATCTAATCCCTCCTCTCCTTATCTTCATCCCCTGTATACAGATACTGAATTTGCTACTTTCTCTTTTCAGCACCGCTCCACAGTGGCCTCCTGTATGCACAGACAGGAGACGGTTGATTGCCTGAAGAAGTTCAATGCCAGGAGAAAGCTGAAGGTACATATTAAACTATACCCATGACAGAGATATTCAGTGATCTGTAAAGTGCAGGTTTATTAATTTTTTTATAGCACGTAGGGATGTTCAGATAGCAGCTCAGATACCAGTGCCGATACTTGGCATTTTCACGAGAACTACCAGGGTTGCGGTGGTTGCATCTGGGACCTGGCTCTGGCGCTCCACCACTATCCTGAAATCATTAGTCTGTATTGTTTTAGAAAAACTGTCACATGACAATAAACAAAAATGTATCAGTACTTGTATCTGTGAGTACTTGGACAAGTATCAGTACTTATACTTGAAAAAATTGTATCGGTGCATCTCTCAGTGCAATTCATACATTAAAACAGGGATGCACAAGTACCTGGAAGCTCTGTATGCCCCTTAAAAATTACAGCTGCCTCCTAACTTTTGAATGTTTCTCATGTCCAGTCTTGGAGCTGGAAAAGTATCTGTACATGTACTTGTACCGAATATGGTATTTGGTAACTGAACATCCCTGATAGCAAGCTATAACTTAAGAAGAACCCCTTCTGGGCTTATATTTGCCATAAGATGCTCATGGTTCAGTGCCTGAGGGAGAAGGTTTAGATGGGGAATAGCAAGTCACAAAATTGTGGTTGCTTTACTTAGTTTTCTCCCTTGTCCAGCTGCCTCTGGGCATGGAACATGAGAAGGTGCAGAGCCAAGTTCAACTTCCATGGGGAAGTCAGTATTTGCTCATTGGAGCAAACATGTTTAAGGGCTCCTGGGGATTCTGCATGGAGACTAAGAGGATGAACATGCTGATACTTGTCTAGGCGCAAAAATATGAGTATGTAGTCGCTATACATTGCATTTCTGTGTACTAAAAAGAAACTATGCTGGTTACTGTAGTTTTGAAACTGTAATGATGTGTCAAAAAGGGGTGGACCTTGTACAAAAAGGACATTTTTCACATGTGCCTTGGATCAACAGCATGTCTCAAAACAAACCTTCCCCTTTTAAGTTTACACCCACTTGGTCTACTTCTTTTAGGACCCGGGTGGCAACATAGCCTATGTCTATCCCAGCACAAAGAAACAAATAAAACAAAAAACCTTTGTGATTTTTTTATCGTAATCTGAAATCATATCTCTACTGTGACATTTGGACTAATCCCACACAAGTATTGTCAGGAATCTTTCCTTTATATGGTGTGTTCTAATTATGAAGCAGTGAATACGGAAATTACAGCATTGTGCATTTGTAGATTTGGCAGAGCAATAGAGAATACTGTACAGTGGCTCTCTATTTACCCTGGATCACTTTCAACAATGTGGAGTATTAGCAGATTATTAACAGTATTACTTTATTCATAGGAGTCTGTAAATCATTCTGTAGGCTGTAAGTGATGAAACATGCAAAATTATATGTTGCCTAAGCCACTATGTATCTCTTTAGTTGTATTAAAGGAACTACATGATCATATTATATTACTTTGTATAGACCCCTTGCAATCATACCTGTACGATTGCTGTATAGTTTTATTAAGATTGTGTTACATGTGCAGATTGGTTAATTAGAAAGCATTCTACTAAGTGACCTAGGTGCTCTGTTTATTAAAATTTTAATTAGTATGACAGACAGGCAAGTATCCAAGGATCAAAATAGTACTGTACTATACGTGGAGTATCCAAATATATAAAACCAAACCTTTTTTTTTTTTTGCAAAAAATATGGAATGGTTACATTCAGTGCCAGTTTGTATTTATTTGGGATTAAAGTGTATGTAAACCCTTAGACCCCATTTACATTGACATATCGTTGTACAGTGTGTGTTATTGCAGACATTATTTCAATGCATGGCTCGAACATGCTGAGCATGTTCGGCTGATCCGAAGCCACACGAAGCAAGCCGATGTACGGCTGATTTCAGCCGATATACGGCTGAAATCAGCCGTACCAGCCTGAAGTGAATAGCCGAACGGTGTTCGGCTCACTTCACTTCTGATCGGTCATTCACTCGGCTGCCCTCGGCAGCTTTGTGAATAGACCCCACAGTTTTTCTACAAAAAAAGGGTTGTGTCAGCATTTTCAGCACGTAAGGATAAATTGGCATCCCATTTATTTCAATGGGCTGCCTTAACACAATCCACATTAACTTGAGACGTAACACACACCGTTACACACCACAAAGTAGTAAATGGGCCCTAAATTCATGTTTGGCATCATGTCTCACTTTAAACAGTTTTCTTACGCAAATCATTTTTTGTGAATATGTTTTGAAGTTTCTTACCTGGAGATTCTTCCAGTAACAACACATCCTGTTGGCTGGCAGGGTGACAATACTATGCCACTAGCTTGCAATTGGCAAAAGCATTGTCAGCCTGCTTTGCAAGCTCCTTAAGTTGGCTGTTGAGCTGCCTATTGATAGACATCATAGGGAGCCCAATATGGCAAGCTGACAACGCTGCTGTAAATTGTGAAGCAGAGGCTTAGTGTTGTCAGCCTGCAACAGGAATTGCTGGTACTGCCAGGATCTCTTGGTTAGAAACCTTGTAATATATTCCTAAAATATATTTGCTTATAGAAACTGTATACAGAAAGACACAATGCCAAATGTACTAAAAATAGATTGGGGGTTTACATAATCTTTAAAGTTCATCCGTACCTTTGATATAGCTATGTAGGTTAACTCGATTATCTCTCAGTAACTAATATCTCTTTTAATTGTATTTTCTGTTGCCAATTTAGGGTGCTATCTTGACTACGATGCTGGCAACTCGGAATTTCTCTGGTAAGTGATAACTGTTTCCGAAAATATTGTGGTAACTTTTGACTGTAGAGATTACAGAAAGGACAGTGAAATCTGTATGAAGCTGCCAGTAGACATTATATGGAAGCCAACAGACAGGTGTGATCTGGCTGCCACATGTTTGTCTCTACAGATGAACATGACTTTTACGCTCATTTTGCTTAAAATGCAAGCTTATGTTGTGGAGGAAAAATTGCAAGCACCGCCTGTGCAAAACGACTATCACCTGATTTGGTTTATGTCAGTTAAACTAACAAATATTTGATATCTATGAGCACCTTAAAGGGAAATTGACCATTTTCCATCATCCCACTCCAATGCTCAGAATAATTTTTCTGTAATATTCAGTCCTCCACCCTCTTCCCATATGTGTGCAACAGGCCATGCTTTGTCATCCTTGTTAGAATTGTTTGTATCTGCCAGGAAACGTAATCTGTCTTGTCTTTCTAAATATAAAACCAATACAGTATAGAAGCAATCAACAAGATCCCTATGGTTACTTATTGTATTAAATAAATGCTATTCTGTGCTGCCATGGAGTAAACTGGGTGCCTGCTATACATTTGGTACTAACTAGAGCATAGCAATATTAAATAATAACATATTGAGAACAATACCAGTTCTCCCAGTGGTATGTGGGACAGCAAGGGGCATCACAGAATGTTATCTAGTTTTTGAATCGGCCCCAACTTACCCTTGACTCAGTATTTAACACAACAAAACATAACATTTGCAGTACAGTGTAAGGCCTAGTAATAAAACTGGGAAAGGTTGTTGTGCTTTACAGCCTTTCCGGTGCTAACTTGCCATCTTGTAACCTGCATGGGAATAAAGAGAAAGTTCTGGTGCTATGGGTCAATTCAGTTGTCTATAATACTTTGAGACTTGAATATCTGAGGACAATGTCTGAGAACAAAATCAGTTCTGATAAGTCATTTTCTAACAAGCTCTTCTGATTGTCTAATGAGGACAGATTATGCAGACCTATTTACAGGTGCAATTGCAGTATGTATAACATGGTGTCACAGTGCAGTTACCTGATTAAGGTTATTATTTGTTCTAGAGAACATTAGAAAACAAAAGAAATAATCTGACATGGCTGCTATGGTCAGCACAGGTTACTTGAATAAAACTGATAAGAAAAACATGGACGTGACCATTGGTGGGCTTTCTTCTCACTCATAGACCCAGAACAAGCGTGCAGCCATGGAACTCAGAACACCAAATCTGCATGCTTGTTTTGGGTCACTGGATAGAAAGTAGACATGTGCACTGCCAAAAAATTTGTTTCGTTTAGTTTTAAATTCGGATTTGTGTTATTTCGTTTTTCAGGATTCGGGTGTGAAAGTCAATTCGGATTCGGAATTCGGATTCGGACGAAATTCGGTAGCGTTAGTACGAACGTTCGTTTTCTGTTCTTATTCGTTTCTTATTCGTTCGTTTGCAGCAAAAGTGACATTTGAGGGGGAAAAAATATTTTTCTCCTCTAATGTCACTTTGCTCCAATGAACGAAACGAATAAGAAACGAATAAGAACAGAAAACAAAACGAACGTTCGTACTAACGCTACCGAATTTCAGAAATGGAAATTCGGATTCGTTTGCATTCGTTATGTCTGTAATTCGGAATTCGGATACATCCGAATGTCCGAATTTCCGAAAATTCGTCCGAATTTCGATTCTGAACGAAACGAATCGCACATGTCTAATAGAAAGTATTAATGCAACTGGATCAGCATGATAGTTAGGTGACTAGCATTTTCAGAAGGGAAGGCCTGGAATACTCACCATATATTTTTAAAAACATATTTTATTACAAATATTTTTTTCATGGGTTCATTTGAACTCATGATACATAGGTGGGTAAAGTTGGTGTTAGCAAGATATTTACTGCTTCCGAAGTCTTCTGCTGCCTGCAGTACTCTTCCCAAGTGAAATGTCTGTTGGCAGGGATCTATAGGGCATTCTGGTTCACACTTAAGAACTGAACAAGCAAGTGAGAAATATAGACGGGCAACTGTTTATCAAGCACTTGTGCAGCTGTCTTTGTGGGATGCTTGCTTCAAATGACCAGAGCATTAAAGGGCTATTATTAGAGAGGTGAGCAGCGAGAGCTTGGCATACACAGACTCGAAATAAAGATACAACTCAGTGGTTTGGTAGACAGGGAGAGATGAGACTCCAGCAGTGTCTACAGCAGTGCAAGGCAGGCTGACAGGGAGACTCACAAACACAAACAGAAGAAAAGGGACTGAATATAGAATGAATGGGAACTTCACTCTACTGGAGGTTCATCGTTAAGGGCATAGGGCATACATACAATGAATGAAGAATATTGAAGATACATTATTGGGCTAGTGAAAGCGCACTAAATACCAACAAAAATTGGACAGAACCCCAACTGATGTATATATTTCAACAACAGAAAGTGGAATTTGAATTGATTAAAATGTAGCTTGTCTAAGAATGGTTGTCATTTAAGCCTGCCCCAGGTTGATGTTAGTTCATGTCAGGATCTTTGAAGACAAAGAACTGATCAATATGCTTCTTCTGATCTTCGGTATCCTGCTGGTTCCCGGATTGGTTGTTCTCACTGCCTGCTTTATTTTCCTAGGAGGCAAGAGTGGCGGCAACAAGAAGAATGATGGGGTTAAGGTAAGGGGATATTTGATTATGCCACAAAGAGGTGGTGGTAGGTGTGACTTCAAAAATCTCTAACAATGTCTTTATTGCAGTGATGTGTATTGCATTGCTGATTTCCGATGTCTTAAAGTTGGATTCAAGAATCTCTTGCCTGACAGACAATTATCCGTCTGTAAACAGCCAACAAGTCTTATTTTCTCTTGGTTGATAAAAATATAATGTAACAACTATGCAGGAGTAAAATAACAGTCATGGCAATCTATGTAGCCATTTTGTGCTCTATATGCATTGAGGGTCCATGTGCTCTCCTGGGCAATGACCTTTAGAATTTAGTTGCCACAGGATCTCTGTAATTGTGCTCTATACCTAATTTGTTACTCTAGAGGCTCTCAAAACACCAAGGTTGAGTGATGCCAATTTGAGGACATCTGAACACTAAGGGACATATTTATAAAGCAGTGAATGTGACTAGTTCACTGTCATTTTAAACACATGCACCTGGAAAGTTCACCTGCAGTGAATGTTTGGCGAAGTCCAGATTTACTGCTTTATAAATATGACATAATGAACACCTTTCATTGTTGAAATAGCATTGTATAACTTGGGTGAACACTCATTGAGAGAGAGAGAGAGAGAGAGAGAGAGAGAGAGAGAGAGAGAGAGACAGAGAGAGAGAGACAGAGAGAGAGAGACAGAGAGAGAGACAACAGAGAGAGAGACAGAGAGAGAGAGACAGAGGGACAGAGACAGAGACAGAGACAGAGAGAGAGAGACAGAGGGACAGAGACAGAGAGAGAGACAGAGGGACAGAGACAGAGAGAGAGACAGAGAGAGAGTTTGATAAACGTTTTAATAAAACTCCTCTCCTAAGGTAGAGTAGTTAGAGGCTAGAGCATTTGAGTGCTTGTGTTTACTTTACCTTTTGTGCATTGCTAGATGTAATATGTGATAAATCAGACAATCTATCTCCTAACCTTTTTCTTGGTGGAATGATGGAATTAGCAAAACACTTGTTTTCATTTCTGCATTAGTGTTATAAAACAGGAAGGCATTGTTAAATATTACATTTTTTCTTCATATGTTCTCTAGATTGTATTTACTTGCAATAATTCTTGCTTATCATTTTGCTAAGATGTTCATGCTCAGGTAAATAAATAAATGACAGAACTTAATATACTGTTATGTTACCGCATAAATTAAACTGCAACCATCGCAGGTCATAGATGAATTTAACATGTTGAGTGAATTAGCCAAAAGCATATCTCTTTATAATGACAGATACCAGCATGTTAGGTATGGTGAAGAGCCATCTGGTGGCTGCTTCTGAAAATGTGCTTGGCGCAAAGAGCAATGAAGTGCAATAACACACAGCAACCAATGTTGTCTTATTTATTTATAACTATCCTGTTAGTTTATAGCAATAAGAACAAGGAAAGATGGCTGTGCAAGGCCTTTATAATACACATTTTGCTGTTTGCATTGAAAGCTATAGCCAAAAAATTTAATAAATGCTATTTACTGACTACAGAAGAGCTTTGCGGTCAGCTTAAAATAATAAACTCTGGCATAAAATTTTGGACAGTATCTTAAAATTCTGACTCAATGTTTCAGGGCTCTGGGACTGTACCTCAGAATTCTGAGATAATATGTAATACCTCTCGGACTGTATCTCAGAATTCTGATCTAATATGTAAAAGCTCAGACACAGTGGGGGTGATTTACTAACCTAAACACACACACACACCAGGTGTGTGTGATTTTCACACAGCAAAACGTATTTATCAACCAAAAAGTCTCTAAAAGCATATTTCCACTAATGCCATATATGGAAAAATCATGCACATGATGCATATATAATGCTGCTTCACAGTTTAGACAAAAATGGTTAGCTCATGCATTTACATTCCTGCATTCATCAACGCAAGCAACATAACATAGAGCTAATTTACACCACATTACCTTGCAATTCATTGCAGGCCTTTGCACAACACACCTGCTGGGTGTGTACACACTACAAAGGTGTTTCGATTCCTCCCATAGATCATGCTGGGAGGGAACACACTACAGAGGTGTATACACGTTCGTGGTGTGTTTAAAAGGTTAGTAAATCAACCCCAGTATATCAGAATTATAAGCTAAGCTTATGTCAGAGATCTTGGAAAGTATCTTAGAATTCTGAGCTAATATGTAAAAGCTTTTAGACAGCATCTAAGAATTCTGAGCTGAGGATTCAGGAACAGAATCTCAGTTTTCTAAGCTAATATGTCAAAGCTAATTGACAGAATTTCAGAATTCTGTTTAACAATATTAGAGCTCTGGACCAGTACTGGAATTCTGAGCTAATGGGGGTGATTTACTAACCTAAACACACGCACGCACCAGGTGTGTGTGATTTTCACACAGCAAAACGTATTTATCAATCAAAAAGTCTCTAAAAGCATATTTCCACTAATGCCATATATGGAAAAATCATGCACATGATGCATATATAAGGCAGCTTCACAGTTTAGACAAAAATGGTTAGCTAATGCATTTACATTCCTGCATTCATCAACGCAAGCAACATAACATAGAGCTAATTTACACCACATTACCTTGCAATTCATTGCAGGGCTTTGCACAACATACCTGCTGGGTGTGTACACATTACAAAGGTGTTTAGATTCCACCCATAGATCATGCTGGGAGGGAAAACACTACAGAGGTGTATACACGTTCATGGTGTGTTTATAAGGTTAGTAAATCAACCCCAATGGGTCAGTGCTCTGAGACAGTTTATACAAATTCTAAATTAATATATCAGAGCACTGGGGCAGTTATATGAGTTCTTAGCTCATATACATGAGAAACTAGGGTTGATTTGGTAAAGGAGTACAGAATTTTAGCTTTGTAAATGTTCACTGGACTTAGTGAATAAGGTAAAGCTTTATTAAATCCATGTATTTGGTATTCAGGAGAATATAATTGCACTGTATTAATGTATTCAGCTGTGACCATTCTTTATTCTCTATTAGTAAATCAACTCCATTTTCTCAAAGTTATTTTTTTTGTTTAAAAAAAGGTGCTGAACAATCTTACCTAAACTTCACACATTTGCTATTGCAAAAATATTTTGTGAGCTGTAGACTTAATTTACTTTTACCTGTTCTCAGGCATTGTATAAAGTAAATTCTTTAAAGCGCATCCTACTGTATATAACATAGTGCCTTTTTATATTTAATATCGATGTGCAAACAGCAATGATGTAGAGTAAACCATGGCAGCTAAGGAATGCTGATCTGTGATTGATTACAATGGGATTCTGCAGATCACTGCTCCTAATGACCATTTATTAAAAAAAAAGTCCTAACTCTGTGCGTTAGGGGGTGTGATTTGCGTGGGAGTGTTCTTAAAGAACCTCTTCCTCTAAAGCGGATATTTACATTTGTATTTGGTTACTGGCAATTTGAATCACATGCTAGCTAAGTTGGCATTTCAGTAGCAAACAATTCCCATCAAAGTAATAATTTCTTCGGTTGCTTGAAAGTGCAGGTTGCTTGAGTTCCAGATAAAGGGGAGTTTACTGTATCTTGTTGTTAAAGTTGTTAACCTCTGACTGCAGGTTTTGGTGCAGTATAAAAACATGTTGCCTCCTTGGAGTTTCTTTTCTTGAAGCATAATGTAGAATTGCTTATTGCCACCTCTGATTGGTCAGCCAATCAGAAGCAGCACTGAGTGGCTACAAGCTGGTCACACTAAACACTGCACTGCAGATATAGGACATTAATGAGTCAGTCAAGTGGATTTTGTGGGGTTTTGGGCCACTTCCGGCAGGAGCTCAAGCACCCCCCTAATGCTACCTTTGACTGTAGGGAAATCTTACCACAGGAGTCTATGAACGAAATTGAAAGCAAACTGTAATTCAATCTATAAACGCCCATTCAGAACTGAAATGCTGGTATTAGGAGGAGTTGGCCTTTAATAACACTTGTTGACTGATTGCTGTTTTTAGATTTGTTTAGACGTTGTGACATGTGTAAATGCTTCATAGGTATTGACAAATGTCTTCCCAAAAGAGAATGATGTTCCAATTACAGTATGTAATAATTTAATTGTAATTACAGTTATGTGCCTTTCACTGCTGGTTATATTGTGATCTGCAGCCTTAATTATGGCTTTGAATTTAGAACTACAGTTGAGTACTGAGCGCCATCTGTTAGTCTTTTCTTTTCCTCGACAAGACCAAGAACATGCTGATAAATAAGTGCGCTTAAAGGGGAAAACCCAGTCTTTACATGCTCCAGCTTTACCTTGACCCAGTTCATCATTCAAATTTGGCACAACAGGCTGTGCTTTGGGGTGCCGTTCAAAATTAATGTCACAGCATCGCACCAATGCATGTTATCATGTATTGCTGTGATGCATGCATTGAACAGCACAATAGTGGGAACGGGCTTTTTAAACTTGTCACTACCTAAATTGGCCTACATTGCATTTCCACATATTCAGGTCAAACAGTCAAGATAGAGGAGTTCTTCCTCTTCATGGTCCATGACAAAGTGGATATCTGGCATGGACGGATCCCATACCATGCCACAAAAAATAGGATTTTTTTTCTGGAAGGAGTTGCTTTTCACCCTTCAGAAACTTTAATTCAAATTTCCCCCATTAATTAATACAGTTTAGACTACCTTAAAGGAAATCTATACTTCCCCATTAATTAATACAGTCTAGACTACCTTAAAAGAAATCTATACTTCCCCATTAATTAATACAGCCTAGACTACCTTAAAGGAAATCTATACTTCCCCATTAATTAATACAGTAATTAATACAGTCTAGACTACCTTAAAGGAAATCTATACTTTTAAAAAATGTTCTTTATTTATGTTCAGCACATTTTAAAATGTATTTTTAATCAGATAATTATGAAATATTACATTCAAAAATTTCATATTTACTACATTCAGTCTGCAGGAGGAGCTCAAATTGAGTTTAGATAGTAGCTAAAGTCTCACATGCCAACAGTTCTTCTAAAATAGACCCAAATCAGGGTAGGTATACACTTCTCAACATAGTAATGTCCTAACTAGATTACCACAATCTGCCAGAAAGCATAAAACTAGTGCTATGCTTTCACAGAGCCCAGCATCATCCAAGCACAGTATCTTGTATACGCCATGTAATATATGTTTATGTGTAAAATAAAGATTTTATAGAAAATAAAAAGCCTAAAACACCAGTTTATAAAGTAATATATTATCAACAAAAAAAAATCATAATTTCCCTTAATGACATAATTAGACCTCAGGCAATTGCAAAATTATGTAACCTATCTTTATAAACCAGAGGGTTTTTTTTTAACTTGTGCAAGAAGACTCGAAGGAGAGTTATTCAAAATAATTTGTTTAAACTGCCACTAATTATTCCCTCTGAGAGTTTCCTGGATTTACAGAGGACGATCATTGTATAACTAACAGTAGGCTTTGTTCACACCGGAATGCTCAGAATAACACAGGTTGTATTGAGCTGTGTTAAGATACAATTTAGATGTATTGGTTTGTGCTTCTAAAGGGCTCCTTTTGAATTGGCTTGAATGGCGCAATGTAAATCAAAGCACCAAAAATGTAGACTGCAGACTTTTTCTCTATAGCATGTCAGCATGAACCCATTTGAAAATAGTGGATTTTCTCATTTCTGTGCATTCTGCCTGCACTGGAAAAAGCAGCAAATGCAGGACAATGCACCCACTGTGAACAAGCTATGAGAGCTCCATAGAGAACTTAAGATAAAGCTCAACTGAACTTTCAGTTTAAATCAGCTGAATACATCCCAAGTCTATTAAAACAAGGTGCTTAGTCTTTCAGGCCACAGCCTGAGTAGAAAAACCTGCCAGCATGCAGTACAGAAAGACCCTTGGCTCTTTGAGTCAGTGCTGAAGCTCTTCAATGAGCAGGGAGCATGTCAGACCTCTGCAGAGAGACGACTGCTGCCCTACATGCGAAAAATGTGACAAAGAAGCTCATGCAGCAGTTTGAGCTGTGAGCTTTGCATGTTTTTTGACCATGCATTTTCACAGGTTTCACTCAAACGCATGCTCCAGGGCGTCTTGCTTGCCACATTTGGGGTGCCATTACCACATAATGGCACCACAAGTGCAACATGTGCTTTTCACGCGTCATGTGAATGTGCGCAAAGTTGCACAATTGTGAGCTGGTGTAAATGTGGGCTTAATGCACCTGATATGTATTTAGCTGATTTAAATTGAAGTTCATCTGGAATTTAAGCAAACTATACTGATTTTTTTAAATGTTTACCTATAGGTTATTACTGATGGGACTTTTTTGTGTATGCGGTTTTGTTTTTCCACGATTGCTTCACATATAGATTTATAGTCTCCTAGCCAGATTAAGCCAGCATGGAGTGCAGTCAGCTTCCTTGCTGAACAGGTCCTGAGATCAAATCAGTTAACCATGTAAACAGTCTGAGCAGGAGCCAAGAGGCCAGAAAAGGGCCAGGTCTTAAAATATGGTAATTAAGACTAGTTAAGGTTCTACCCATAAAGTGTATTTCCACTTTTGTAGCCAAATTGGGATAACGCCTATTTAATATTTGTTAAAAGAGTAAGAATTTGTTTTTAAAAAGTTATTTTTCAGTATGCTGTGTGAATAGGAACACATAACATATAGAGGAGTTTTCTCAAATTTGAATCCAAAAGTGAATCCAAAAGTGGAAATACACTTTAAAGGCTGATACTAATTTGAAAACTAATAGTAAATATATTTTATTTGGACATGCTCTGTTATAAGTTCTTAAAATCATGCTGGCCAAACAGATTAGTTGGAGTATACATGTAGTTACATCATGAGAGGCAGTTTAAACATGTGCTTTCCAAACTCATGTCCATTCACATAGGGCACTGTTTCTATGGATTTTGCTTATTTTACAAGAGGTGTGCAATCATAGGGTAAAAATTGCTGAACATCATCCTCCTTCCACTTATTACTCCATTACAAAACTCCACTATCTCTTGGTAGTTTGTCAGCATGGTTTAGTCCTATCAGCCAGCTGATAAAATGATAGAGCTGTAAGGCAGACATCACCTTTAAGCAATGTATTTTTAGAGTTGTGCCTTGTTTCTGCTTAAAGGAAAATGTATAGAAAGTGTTTAGATTGCAGAAATTTCTTGCTGGGTGGGTATTGAATCAGGATTGTCGTTAAAGATATATCATGCTTTGGTTTTCACTAAAATAAACTGTGGACTAACACCTGTTGATATCATAAAATCCCAAGGACAGGTGACCAAAAGGACCCACAAAACAATTTCCTGTCATCAGCTGCGCTCCTGCTGCACACTGTGTCATCCGACGCTTTTTCTGCACTGCACACTCTACAAGCTGCTGCTGTATTGCACTGCACACTGTATGGCATGCTGCTTTACTGCACTGCATAATGGTTCAGATGTTTCTTTATTGCACTGCACTATGCATCACAGATGATTCATCGTATTGTACTGCTATAGGCAGACTGGTAGATACTTTTGTCATAATGAATGTTATAGTTGATAAATTAGTTCCATAATGCTGCTTTAATACATCACTTCATTTCCTAAGTCATTGCACTGGCTTACATGTCAAACTGTTGTGTGCACTGCATATATATATATATAGCCTTAAAGGGAAAGTATACTGCCATTTTAAGAGATATGCCAAATCCATAGTCTTCTCACTTGTTCTCCTGAAACTTTTAAAGGCTTAAGTCATAGAAAAATGAGCAGTTGTTAATGGGATAAATTATTTGCTTGCTGCTAAGGGACTTCAGTTGGAAGATCTCCTAGCTGGAGTTCCTAAGTGTGCCCTAACCTTGCCTTGGAATCTTTCTCCTCCTGACAAAGTTTCAGAAATCCACGGCCAGCAGATAATGTGTTGTGGCCCAGTGGTTGAAAATGTGTCCTGGGCTGAAAGAAAAAGAAAATTAAAATGTTTTAGTTGTTATCGGGACAAAAACAATGGAAACACAACTAAAGAGGGGATATCCCTCATTTCAGAGAGTTCGTGTTTGGTTTTATGGAATAGAAAGTGGAGATAAATATACACAATAGAATATTGCTAGCAATCCATGAAAAGTGTTGGGATTTTAACCATAGCCTAGCCCTAATTCATTCAAGAGTGAAAAAAGCTTTGGCTTTTTTTTACTTTAACCTATCCCAAAAATGATGCTTAGCACTTAACCTTACGATAACTTTAATCCTAACCCTTAAAATAAACCCTTAACACTTCACGTTACCCTAGAGTGTAACCTAAACCTCCCAACCTAACCTTTTTAAACCTTAACTTAAATCTTAACTATTAGGAGCCATGGCACTCAGGTGTACTCACAATAGGGTTTCACTGCTATAAATGAAACCAAATAGGCCCTGAGCTGTTGCATTATTTGCCCTCATTGTAGTGAAGCCTAGCGATGGTCAGCTGGAGCAAGGACTTCTAGCACGGCCCCCTTCTCCTTCAGGGCCGTCCACAATTACATTCAATATGACTCTTTGTGGCGTACTGTAATACCTATTGCCTTGCCACTAAGACCTTTATTTATGTCATCTCTTAAGGGATACTTTAGTGTTTGGAAGATGCTGGAGAGCTAAATCCCTGGCAAATTTTTATACCATATCTCTTGGTGGCAAATCTAGTCTCTGCACTAGAATTTCTGGGTCTGTCTGATTATTATAGCCATTATAAGCGAGTTCCCACTCTGCCTGTTGGTTTTTTAATGTATTTATATAATAGAGAATGCAACAGGAGGTGTTAGAACCTGCAAAAGTGAACAGGAACTCCCAAATTTCCAGAAAGACCAGAACAAGTAGGAAGAGTAGAAAATTATTGCTGGGAGTGCTCACAGTTGGAGCGTCAAACGCAATTTAGAAGCCCAGGGATTGACTCAGCTCACCAGCTTCACCGATTGCTAAAATATAACTTTTGGGTGGACTAAACATTTGAACTACAATCCCCAACAGAATTTTGCCCCTAAGCATGCACTGACATACATGGAGATGAATTAAAAAAAGATAAAAAAAATGATTAAAAAAACACATATTACTCAATAAACAAAGAACAGGGATGTGTTAATTTTTTATATCTACATTCCCTTTAATGCAGAAAACCATTGCTTCATTCAGGCTCTGCTTGCTGGTTCCATTCTCTCTCCTGAATAGATTTTGGTCACTGTGTTCTGTCCTGAGCCTTGGCCATGTACTTCTCTTACCTTTGTCACCCACTTTTGTGCAGGTTGACATTCTGGTGACATGTTAGGATGCCTCTTTTTTAATGTTTGTCTCCCGCTGTGCTCCCTTCTCTTCCCTCTGATTGTGCTTTTGCTTCTATATGCTTCTGCAGCACATTGTGTAAGAAACACTTTGGGCTTAATGGGCTTGCAGATTTTGTGCTACTATGTGGTTTGGTGTCACACCAGACCAGACATCATTCTGGGCTTCTTGCGTTTTTCTCCAGCTTTACTTTTGCATCTAATACAGGGGTAGCCAAACTCCAGCCCTGCAGCTGAAAGGTGAAACTACAATCCCATGATGCATCTCTCTCCGGGAGTCATGTCTGTGGCTGTGAAAATCTTGCAATGCCTCATGGGATTTGTAGTTCCACCACAGCTGGAGGGCCGGAGTTTGACTACCCCTGATCTAATATGTTATATGGCTGCCCCTGCCTTGTCACCCTCTTGTGTTCCTATTGTATATCTTCATGCTCTTGGCACCATGTTTTATTTTTAATGCTTTTGGTTTTGCTTGCAGTCACTGTGCTGTCTTTTGTGCTTCCCTCTGTGGTCACTGTGCTGCTGGCTGTGTGTCTCACTATCCTTCCTATCTGTTCTCCTTGTTTTTCCAGAAAAGAAAGTCCAGTTCCAGTGTCCAGTTGATGGTGAGTCTGTTTTGTCTTATTCAGTGCTTGTTCCTCTGAGTCCCAGTAAGGAGCTCTGCAGTTCCCTGTAATCGGAGCAGTCTGGAAAGGGGGTGAACAATTTACAGATACTGGTAGCACTGAAAAGTAAATTTTTATATGCAAATTTACAAGCTGGAAACCTTGTTGAAGGCCTAAAATGCCTGAAACTTGAGACTGCTCAATTTACAAGGAGTTTTGGTCTGCTCAGAATGGCACAGGACAAATCATGTTATGGCTACAAAAACTCTTTGTTTAGTAGACAGGTTCAGTTTTGTGCACTGGCCACATGCTTAGGGATGATCTGGTAGAACTACTACCTATGGTAGACGTCACTTACTGAAGACAATAATTCATATATTCACGTAGACAACCTACTAGAGGATGACATTCTATAGTGTAAGGGCCTTTGTTGACAAGCGTTAGGGTTGTGTCAATGGTCAAATGCAACTTGCTTTCAAGTGCAATCGCCTTGTGTCTGTGATCAGTATGAAATACTTACAAGTTCCACCTTGGATCCTTAACGGGTGCAGTTGACCTCGATCTGTCCTGCACTTGATCTCCTTCTAAGCAAAATCAACTTGCTTCCAGATGCTTTTGCATTCCCATAGCTGTGTAAGGAAAAAAGGCATGAGAAATGAGAGGGCCACCGTGTCCATTGGGTCACCATGGTCCAGCGTTCCACCGGTATATACTTATAGACCATAGACTTGTATGTGGAGACATGCACCTCTGACACAAACAAAAGCCTGTTAACACAGACCCTTAGAACGCCTTAATTGCTGTAGAAGATTCTCCTTAAGGATAAATTGAAAATATCTATTTTTGCATGGGTCTCCAGAAAAAAGAGAAAGAGAAGATAAGAGAAAGAAATCAGCAGCCCTGATCTGCATTCTTGTTTCAGTTTATTGCATCAAAGTACTGAATCAAAGGGGCCAGTATAATAGCCAGGCACCTAGCATTTCAGGAGAGCGCATCAGTTCCAGCCTTCCTATTTCACATGACAGGGTTTTTAACCGAGGTGAGTACTAAGATCTGATTCCCTGGTTTTGGGGGGTATACTACAGTTTATCTCTCTTTGTATTTCCTTATCAAATTAAGTCAATTCATTTTTTGGACCTTCTCTGCAAGGAGATTAAAGACTGTGCCAATCTGAGCAGCTTCCATTTTTTCCCCACTGTACAAAACATGCTCTTTGCTCAGCAAAAGAAGGCAACGGGCCATCATACGGCATTCTGTAATATACTGTATTGTCCAATACCTTTTTTTGCCCAGCAGACGGACATGTCACCCTCACAATGGGGCTCACAGAGGAATGAGCAGCTGTGTTTGTAGCCACAGCTCTGTGTGCAGTCAGTTGGTGCAGCTGGTATTGGGATATGTGGGAGCTGTAATTGTCTCCTAGACATGAAGACTGCACAGAATGTTGGGATATAAAATTGTTTTATGTTCTCAGCAAAATAATACATTGTAGCCACAAGAGCTGCTGTTAATAAACAACAAAACACAACTCGTTTTACTATAACCCATTTTTCCTGGTCAGTGGTGACATCTAGTGGTCAACATATAGAATGCAGGGGAACTTCGCCTCAACTTCTGAACAGGACGTATTGTGATGCACAAGAACCTCTCTTCACCAAGGGGTGCTCTTCTGGTGCCCAAAACACGTAGTATGCCGTTTCAGCTGAAATAACACAATTCTTCCTCCCTTTTGGCTTTTATTCAGGAATCTTCAGAAAGTACAAATACTACTATTGAAGACGAAGATACCAAAGGTACGTGATCAACTTCATTTGCAACCAGACAGAATCAAATGTAGGAAGTGTAGATGTTTTTAACATTATTGGATGCAGGCATGTCTATCTTAAAACTAATCCTTTGCGCTAGATGTGTACAAATATCACCAAAGAGGTCATTTTATCTCTATGTTAGAACAGCAGTGTATGTTTTTAGAGAGGAGCAGTTTATGAAGCAGGAGGATTTGCCGCTAGGCCACATAGACTATGATTTAGAGTGTGCCACCATACCCACAATTAATAAGTGCCCTGCAGTGCCAGGATAAGGCCCTCTGGCACTCAAGATGAGGATGCCAAAGTGTGCCCTCAACTCTTAATTCTGTGCTACAAAAACTAATTTTAAATGGTGACAAAAAAATATAAGGGAATTAAATTGTAGCTACAAATTTTGGGTTAAAAAACTAATATGGTTTTTTTTATTAAACTTAGCACTACAAACACAAACAAATGCAAACCTAGAGGTTTATATACAAATGATTAAAAATAAGTAGCAAAAAAAAAGCTCAGTCCTGTAGATTAGACAGGGAGAACAGGGTTATCTCTGTGTAACCATCGGAGCTCTGTGGCACTGAGGCTTTGCGCCCTGTTTAGCACAGGGACAGCTGCCATCCCCCAGTGTAATTTGCATGGCTTTTTGTATTTTAAAGTTAGCCCATACTCAGACTATGCACACTAGATTATTAACATATTCTGATGAACCAGTAAAAACACTTTAAAACATGCACTCATTCACCTTTCTAGCTATAGGCATTTCAGGGAAAATTGTCTTCAAAGTTCACAACATAGGCTCATAAATCTTAGTTTTTTTGTATTACTTTCTATTACAACAGAATCTTGGCAGCCTGCCAGGCTTCTAATATTTACCCATGGTAGGTGTTTCTAAGCTGCTAGAAACTGGTAAAAATCTAACTTTAGTGTCTTTATTGTGATCTTTGAGAATTAATGATATCACATTTCAAGCAGCTAGAGAGGTCAGGGATGGCTTGTTTTAAAGCTCTTTTACTGTCTGCTACGAATTAATGTCCATAGTGTGTGCACGGGTGCACGTTAAGTTTTTCTGTTACTCAGCAAAGCTGCCCATCATAGTTGAGGAATAATACGGAGGCTGAAGAATTAACATGAATAGAGCCAAGCTTATTTTTTTACAGGAAAATGTGAGATTTGTATATAAATACTGCTACTATGTCGTTGCATCGAATCGAATTGCAAAGAATTGATGAGACTGGTGGCTTTATTGATGGTAATCCAAGTTTTTAATCAGATGCACAATTTGAATTCCCTAGTTTTTCCACAGGTTTACTTTAAGTATAAAATTAGAGTTTGCACATGTAATTATTACTGTGCTTGTAGAAGCTTCCTTTGAGCCTTTGTACAGTTGTAAGTTCATGCGGCTTCTTATACAGAAAGGTGATGTCATAGATATAGTTGTCATTGTGCTGCTCCTACAATTACATTGCCAGGCTCATTGTTCTTAGCTTTGGATTTGAAAGCCATGGCTCACGCATGAAAGGCCATATGACAGGCATCAGAACATATTTGAATAAAAGTACATGCCACTCCTCCCCCTCCACTGCAAAGGTTAATTGCATGTTTCATCTAGGGGGAGAGGAGTAAGCAGCAATGCTTACCTCATTCCTCATTCCCCCTGGCAGCTAGCACTTTCCTCTGGTCTCCCGGAATGTGGGCAGGCCTCCAACGTCCTCACATACAATGCAGGCTCGCTCATCGTGCATTGCACATGATGATGTTGGAAAGGTCATGACCAGGCAAGCGGCGCAGAAGAGCAGCTTTGGAAGATCGGTCGGTCGCATGGTGGGCAGGGAGCCTGTGGAAACAAAGAATAGGGTAGAAATTGCTGCTTATTCCTTACCTGTTTGACAAAAGGCACAGTTAACTCACGCAGTGTGGAGAGAGGGGGGGGCACTGCGTTGTCAATTATTAGAGCTGACTATAGTACAACTTTAAGTGGATTTTTTATGGTTGATTGTAGTGTTGCATCTGCGGACTGCGTCTAATTTTAATTTACAGTGTACATTGTAACACCTTAGAACTGTGAACATACTGTCAAACAAGTGTGTTAGCTGATTTGATTAAACAGATGCTGCAGAATCTCTGTACAAAAGTAAAAGTTTAAAGCCCAACTTCAGGGAAAATAAATGTTTTCCTTTGCAGTAGGGCTGCTCCCACACTGCAAGGGTTACCTGCTTATTTATACCTAGGGGATAGGAAAAAGCTATTTTACTTACCTGATCCTCGCTCACCCAAATGCCCAAAAGCTCACCTTTTTTCTTTCCGCTCCGGCTGTGGACTGTCACTTGGTGTCCTCATCTACAATGCTGGACTATGGAGTGTGCATTGTATGTGATGACATCAGTGGTTCTTAGACTGCCAAAGCGAAAGGGAGAAGAGGCTGCGGGAACTGGTCTAGCAGCCCGGAGGGAGCCAGCAGGAGCAGGGATTCGGTAAGTAAAACAGCTTTTTCCTGTCCCCTAAGCATAAATGAACAATTAACCCTTGCAGGGGTGGGGAACATTTTTTATTTCCTTTGGGTTGGGCTTTAATGTCAGCTTGAAGAGTAATTGAGGTTTTGTGTACAGCTTGGACCTAGGAACCAAAGGGGATCTGCTGGGACACAGAACTTGGTCTGAAGATTAAAGCTTTTTCTCGCAGGAACTGCAAGATGTCTGCACTTCAGTGGTATTATTGACAGTTTTTAAGGCCCTGATAAGTTCACTTTAAAGTGTTCTAATTACTCTCCTCCAAAAGCTTAAATTAATTAATGTATGCATTAATTATGAAATGAAATGGTAAGTATAAGCAATTCTCTAAGTATCTTCCCTCAGTAATTTAATTCTACAGGATACATAATTAGGGTAACCTTCTGAAAGCTTAGATATTAGATGTGAGAATTCTGAGCTATGTTTACAATAGAATCATCTTGTTTCTTATAGTGCATTTACACCATTCCATTGACTTCTGATCACTAATGTTCACTCTTCTCGTAATTACAGTGAGGAAGCAGGAGATTATTAAAGTGACAGAGCAGCTGATAGAGGCTATTAGCAATGGGGACTTTGAATGTTACACGTGAGTATAAGTACCCCCATACATAGACACATTGTTTTCAAACAATTTTTTTGAAATCATCCTAAATAAGTATTCCTACACATGGACACATGGAATTTTAATTATTTTTAAATCATTTTTATTAAAGTTTCAGTAATGATGAAACAACTTTTAGCACAGTGACAATTTGTGGTGTGAAGTTTTTGATGGGCCATTCTGGAACACGCATTATAAATAGGTACAGGAAAGCCATTGGATTATTCATTGTACATGACTTAAAGGTTCAAAATTATTTGTCACTTATGAAATATAAAGACTTAAAGTTTAACTACACCCTCCTATTCCCTACAGCCAGATCCATGCAATGATGCGAATGCCTTAAAAATGCATAAAACTGCATGATAGGTGCATTTGTATTTTGTTTAATATTACTTTTAATACTTGCTTAATACATATTAATGCAAAAAAAATGCAGCATATCAATATATTATAAAAAGTGCTAAGCTGCAGCAGATAGATATGAACTAGCCACATAGAAATAAAAGGAGAATTATGGAGAGAGTGTGATACACTCATTCCCATAATTAGAGCCGACGTATGACACTAAAGCTGTCACACGTCGGCTCTATTGATCGAGAACTGAGCAATCATATTATACCGATCTCTGAGTTCCCGATCCTCTCCCGGCAGACCTTCATGGATTCCCCCCTCCCCTCTCCATTCCTCCAGCACTGACTGGAGGAACAGATGGGGAGGGGACGGGCACATCTGGCTCTACCAGCTGTCAATCAGGTAGCTGGGTGGATCTCGACAATATTGTCAAATCCGTCTGGGCTGCAGCAAGGCTCTGTGGCTATTGCCTGCTATAAGCTGAGTTTATCCTCCTGTGACCCTAAAGAGAACTATGGCAAAAAAAAGGTTGGGCCATAGTTCTCTTTTAATAGGATTGCTACTTGAACTGATAATTTTCACCATGTAACAGTAGAATAATGGACAAGTGAGAATGGCCCCTATTCCATTTTAATGCATACTTTTGCTAATTGTCTGTTTTTCTAACTTGCAGTAAGATGTGTGATCCTGGAATGACAGCGTTTGAGCCTGAAGCACTGGGAAACTTGGTGGAAGGTCTAGACTTCCACCGCTTTTACTTTGAGAATTGTGAGTTGGTATTTATAGAAAGATCTCCTCCTCTCCTGTTCCCCAACAATCTCCATAAAGCTCAGTTATTTATTTATTATAGATCTACATATGAAAAACAGCTACATGCATTTCCTGATAATGAATTCAGTTATATTTTAAATGAGGTAAATAATGTACATCATTTATTTGCTGTGGAACAGTTATTTACATTGAATTAGTCCCCAGCTGCTCTCCAGTTGATAAAAGGGAACATCTTATAATTTGTAATTGTTATATAACAACTAATGACTAACATGTTGATTACTGAAGTGCTATCATCTTATTTTCAGGGATTAAGTAAATGAGGCCCATGGTAGACATCAGACATCTGAGTGGACTTAATCCCCTTTAGAATTAAGTCCATTCAGTTTAGATCTCTGTTTCAGTTGAGTTTGACACGTCTGGCTTAGAACAGTTGCAACAAAAATGTAACAGTCAGAGTCGGATCATCTACAAGGTGACTGCAGCAGGAGCCTGAGGCTCATGGATTGTGCTGAGGGCCCAGCTACAATCTTTTTGCGTCTGCAGTAAACCAGGCTTTGTACCTGCACAAAGGAGGATGTACTTGTAGGCAACTTGTATGTGATGGGGCCATGCCAGTACTGACTATGCAATTGGGGTGGCTGTTCTGTGCCTATTTGAATTCCTATTAATATCAATGGAAGAGATGGGGAGAGGTCAAAGCTGCTAGCTTGCCTAGGGTCCAATTCTGCCTTTGTCCATGTTTGAGTACATATGTGCAAGGAGAGATAATCTACCAGGCCAGTTGTTCTGCCTGATCTGCAAAGAGAAACCTATTGTTTTGGATGTAAGAATCCTTTATCACGACGCATACCTTAGTAAGCTCTTTTGGAAATCTGTCTCCCAAACCTCTGAACCCAATATAGTCGACATGTAACAAATCTGCCAATGTGGCCCCTATCTAGGCAATGACTGACTGTGTATAAGCTTACCTCTGAATAGGAGGTCTAAGATAAGCCATCAAAGTACAAGACATATTACCGAGGGCCATATTTAGACATCACACCATCACAAGCATGAGTGAATGATGACCCCCCCTTTGTACAGGTTCCATGCCGAACCAGGAGAGTGAAAGAGAGTGCCAGGACAAAAGGTCCTGTTTGATCTTCTTGTGCCGTTGGAGATGGGGAAGAACTCAGAGCGTGCTTCGTTCACACGGACCGCAGCCATGAGCGGAGAGTGGATGGGGCGGACATCCCACCCCCGCCCCCAGGGGGGGACAAGGGGAGGCACATCCACCCCGTGACCCAGGGGAGGGCGACAGGGCAGCAGCGAGAGACCATACGTAGGTCTGGCTTGGTGACCGCAGAGCTCTCCCAAAACGTGTCCTCACGTCTCCATGTCCAGGCCACGCCCCCCAGGTTCCATTCTTTATCACAGGCGAGATAGAGTTCTATTTAAATGTACACTCCACTAACAAAGGAAAGGAGATATGGGTGCCCATGCTTGACTTGCAGGACCATGTGACCCTACAACTCCCCTCCATTTCCCATGTCCCCCTCCTATTTCTTTTGCTTGATTTTAAGCTGAACTCCAGGCAGATACGTAAGGCACAAAGCAATGCAGCTCTGTAAGCATTACTACATTAATAAACTGATATTTTAAAATGCAATCAGTGTAAGTACCTGACTTTGACTTGGTATTAGCCCCTTGCAGTCTACTCACAGTTTCTACAGAAGAGCTCAGAAAGGAGGAAAAGCAGAACAAGGAGCCAATCATTTGTGCTGCAATGCAAAGGGCATACTGATGGGAGGAGAGAGCAGTGCAACAGAGATGAGCTAATCAGTGTGCTGCATTTCCTTTCTAATTACAGCCTGGAGAGGAGACCTGTAAGTGAAAGTGATTCTGCAACAGAGATCAGGTTCCCTCCCTTGCTAGAAGGGGCTGGCAGAGTTGTGTAAATGGCAGGACTGGATGAACTAAAATAAAAATACATTGGCAGGTAAAATAGCTCTGTTATGTATATTTTATCTGTGTACTTACCTGGTGCCTGGAGTTCAAAGGTATAGTGGTGGCCAGAAAAGGGTAAAAGTAAAAGTACAACCACAGTTCTAAATTGTGTGGCTTGGTAAATACAGCCCCGCACTACACATTACATCACAAATATGGTCTGGAGTTCCTTACTGGTGTCTTCAGTTACAGATGAGGTCTGATCTCCTGCACCAGTCCAGATATGATGGGAGAGGCATGCCTTTAAGATAATGGTGGCATGACAGCGTCACAGCATATCACAAGAAACAGTGCTTTCACATATCAAGGCCATATGCATGCGCACAGGGTATGCCAAGTGTGCCTGGGCACACCCTAATCACCCCGAGCACAACACTAAAACCACAACAGCAGGCGCCATGTTTTTAGTCACTAGCAAAGTTTTTAGCGACTAAAGTGGAAAGATCATACAGATCTCTCTGTGACTGACTCAGCGATACAGAGAGCAGCAGCATTGGCCACTTACATTCCTCACATTACAGTCACAGTCCTCAGTGCCTGAGAAGCTGCGAGGGAGCGTGGCTGTGGCTTACCAGGCTTCCCATCCAATCAGGAAGTTGGGCGGGTGGTCACATGAGCACTTGCCAGGCTCCCTGCTTCATTACTCCACCCTGCTGGAAGAGGTAAGGGATAGTTGAAGAGATGGGAATCCAGGATGCCTCAGGTCTGTGTATATATATATATATATATATGTAGTGCAATATAAATGGGTAAGCCGTATTAGTCCAGTAGACAAGATGTCAAAAAAGACAAAAACGCAGTATTGCAGTAACGCATGTGTGTTTGTACTTTTGTGTGTACACCCATGGTCATGGCCATTATTATAGACAAGCCTATTCCCTATAGCAGCCAAGCTGTTGTTTCTATAACCCATTGAAAAAATAAGTCTAATCTGAGCAACAATTCCAGTTTCCTTTGTGCTTTTCTAAATAACCCCATGTCTGTTTTATCAGCTAATTACATAGTAAAGCAGCTTTATGTCGCTGTAACATGAGGAACATTTGACATCATTGCCTCATTGTTATAATTCCTCGATTTGTTCCCTTACTGAAGTAATGATTGCACTGCCCTGCAGATGTATCTGTAAGAATGTTTCTTTATGACTCTGATTCCTTACATCACTTCAAGTAGTAAAGTGCTATTTGGTTAATCGAACCACTTGAATGTGTTGCATCAGCCAGCACCTAATATTTCCTGAACTTTGTACTAGAGTAATGGTTTCCAAGTCCTCACTGACAATCAAAAGGTCAAAACTGATACCCACACAGAAGATACAATGCTGAAGAACTTTGGGAGAGGGTTAGGGCACAGAACACCCAGGATGTAGTACACCCAAAAATGATAGAACAATGTACTTGCACAGAGATAGAGGACCTTTAAGCAGATTGCAGCTATCCATGTCTTGAGCTCCTGGCTTTGTAGTACTTGATATAATAGCTATTCGTCCATTTCAGAAAAGATCACCATGCTTCAGTAGAGGATCAACTTCTCAGGCTCCCTGTACCTGTTGAAGTTGTATGCTGTTATCTCCATCTTCAAGGTTCACTCACTAGGGTTCAGACCCAGGCCTCAGTCTGAACACATGGCTTCCCTTCCCAGGCAGCAGACCTACAAGGGTCAGATTATCCACAGCATCCCTTCCTAAGGCAGTAGGCCCAGGGGAGAAAGAGTGTCCCACAGGGTCAGCCCCAAATGTTATGTCCTCCTGCAGAATGCACCACTGGTGATGAACCTCCTAGTTATTAGCTACGGAGACACACATATTCATAGTGCATCATTATTGGTTGCTCTGCTCTGTGGCAAGGTTATACCCAGTCGCAGGCAGATACAAATGATAACAGAGTGCTTAGAAGAAAGCAAGGCAGTGCAGACTACCAAATCACGATCAGACTGAGTACAGTCTGACAGCTGCTAAATTTAAAAAGTCACTCCTGTGTAAGGCAGGGTGGCTACACATATAATCCCATACTCTATACAGACACAGGGGTTTTAAACTATTAACACAAATTATTATGATTAATGACCTGAAGCTGATTGCTTTTACATTTTTATCTGAAAAAAACAATGCACTTCCCGCTAAGGTCACATCAAAAAGAGAAATCTGAAGATACAAATAGTATAAGAAAACATATTGCCAATATCTGAGCTAGTTTTAAAATGGTGGCGTAGTGGTTAGCGCTTCTGCCTTGCAGCACTGGGGGTCATTGGTTCGTAGCCTGGCCAGGTCCCTATCTGCAAAAGAGTTTGCATGTTCTCCCTGTGCTTGTGTGGGTTTCCTCCGGGTACTCTGGTTTCCTCCCACACTCCGAAGACATGCTGGAAGGTTAATTGGCTCCTGTCTAAATTGGCCCTGTATGTATGCATGTGAGATAGGGACCTTAGATTGTAAGCTCCTTGAGGGCACGGACTGATGTGAATGTGCGACTATGTAAAGCGTTGCTTAAATTGTTGGCGCTATATAAATACCTGTAATAAATAAATAGGTTATTTGGGACTAAAATGTAGGAAGTATTTCTGGTGTTTGGGTTTTTCTATTGTAAAAACGTAGAGCTTCAATATCTAAATAACTAGAGCTAAATATCTAAGCAACATCACTTACCTGTCTTTCAGTGTGGTCTCGGAGCAATAAACCTCTTCATACAACCATCTTGAATCCACACATTCACCTTATGGGGGATGAGTCTGCTTGCATTGCTTACATCCGTATCACCCAATACCTGGATGCCAGTGGAGTTCCCAGAACTGCCCAGTCAGAGGAGACATGTATTTGGCATCGTCGTGATGGAAAATGGCAAAATGTCCACTTTCACCGATCAGGGGCCCCTTCAGTCCTTCCACAGTAAGAGTTTTAATTATACCGTATTTTTCTTGCTTAATATTTAGCTCTCTTATCTTTGTTTACACTTCTGCTAAGGGAACAATTATCTATGATGTGTGTGACAGTGATACAAGCAAGAAACGTATGAAACTTTGCAAAGCATCAGTGACAATTGAGATTGCTGATCATCAAATCACATTCTTGATCAAACTGTATTGTTTTGACTGCAATGGATGAAAGTAAATGGTTAGGACCTTCTATAGTATCTAGCTGTATGAGGTCCAGATTGGACAACTGGATATAATGAATTATAAATCTTTCAAAACATATGTACTTAATATGTTTATAAAAAGTCCCACATTTGTATATGATATCTTTATAAATCAGGAGGGAAAGCATAGCCGTCCATCCCTCTCGTCTCTGTAAATGTTCCCTTGATTGTCTAGACAAACTCTGATAAAAGTTATCATTGTACAGAAGATAAAATCCTGTGTGTCAGCATTCTAATAGACCCCTAATGTCTCTATAAAGAGAACCTGTCACCTCCAAATGCTGTCACATAGGAGCTTGTTAGCCCCTTTGTGAGAGCAAAAGTTAAGGGAGAAAAGTCAAAAAAATAATTAAATAAATAAAAATAAAAAACATTTAAAAAAGGTGATAAAAAAGTAGAATAATAAGATAAATAAAAAACATTAGAAAAGGTGATTCAGAAATAAAAAAAACAATAAAATAAATAAAAAAACATTAAAAGGGTGATAAAAAAGTTAAAAAACCTATAAAATAAATGAAAAAAACATTAAAAAAGTAAGATAAGAAAAAATAAAAATAAACAGTGCGAAGTGCCGGGATCGTGAGTGGGCGAGAGTGACCAATCTGTCTGGACCACAATTCAGACCTTGTTTCAATAAAAATTTTACTCACCAGACCTCCTTGAATTTTAATTCACTGCCCCTGGTTTAGTAGATACCCAGTTTTTGTTGATAACCCTTTTACTTCCATATTCCTCACCTAGGTGAGGATAACATAGCGTTGCAATCCAGGAGACTTCAGGACAGTCTACAGCAGTCTACCAATCACATGATCGCATGTGCAGGGGCACGTTATTAGGGGGCCAGTAATGATTATCAATAATTGACAGCTAGCTTCTGAATTTAAGATGGCAGCGCGGAAGAAATGAAATGCTGTGGAATGGTGTAAGGAAGACAGCGTTGGACTACATGGACCAGGAAGTATGTGTTTTTATTTTATCGTACAGGGGCAGTACTTGGTGCAGCTGATTGAGTAGGCAGGAGGAAGTTGCTGTTTAAGCCCTGTTCCTCCAGGAACCAAGCCCTACTCCCTCATTAACTTATGTTAGAGCTTGTACTACCCACTGAAGTTTCAGCATTTAAAAAGTAAAAGGCAGAGGCAAGGCTTAGGAGAGTGTGGGGCTTAATCTTGACTTGGGCAAAAGTTGAGGTCCAGTGTAAAAACTGGGCCTAAGATCAATTTGAAGACTAACACATGCTTGACAAGGTGCCACACTTCGTTGCTGTTGCTAAATGTTTTAGAATAGGTCATGTGTGTTCCACTTTCATCTCAGTTACATGGGGTGGCAACTGTATTTGCTTTTTGTACTTTTCTAGCTCTCCAAGATTAGCCTAGCCCTAGTGGCTAACCCACTCGGCCCTATCATCACACTTCATCTTGTATTAAACTTGATTAGCATGGATGAGCCCGCTTCTATGGAATTTGTCTCCTTTTTTTTACTCTGTACCTATTGTTGTACCTGTGGAACTGCTTTTTGTCTTTGTGTTTTGTTTATATCCGTAATTGTCAAAAACCTTTATTATTTAAAAAAAAAAGAATAGATCATGTGCAGAAAATCAAAAGGCAAGCTTATAGAAAGCACCATAGAAAACACTACTATTTTACTTGGCTCTTTTTATGAGTTGAGTTTATAGGCAGTACAACCATGCTTCTACAACCCTAACATTTTAAGTATATCTAAAGTCAAATATACTTTTTGCTTTGGATGGAGTAGGGAAAAGTTAAAACTTTTTTTTTTTTTTGCTATTTGAGATTTCTTTTCACTTTATGCCCCATTGACAGAACAAGAACTAGAGTATACTAGAGTATGTACATTGCCTGGCCAAAAAAGTCACCACCTGGAGGCAGTGTTATGATCTGGGGCTGCTTCAGTATGTCCCCAAAAAAATTAGATCAGCTGCCTACCTGAATATAGTGAATGTCCAGGCTTTTCCATCAATGGATTTTTTCTTCCCTGATGGCACGGGGCATATTCCGAGATGACAATGCCAGGATGCATTGGGCTCAAATTGTGAAAAAGTGGTTCAGGGAGCATTTTCTCACATGGATTGGCCACCGGGGCCGGATTTCCCACAAGGCCAACCAAGGCCCAGCCTCGGGGCAGCAGGGGTTAGAGGGGCAGCAGGGGTGTGAAATTCCTATCTCCCAACGCCCAGGACATGCAGTTTCGGACGCCGGGCGGGTATTTGTTTTCTACATTAAGCCATGATTTGGGCAAGCAGGGCTAAATGTACAGAGGGGAAGCCACTGCTTGTTTTGTACCAGTGATCTCTGCGATGTCACTGAGATCACTTGTATGCAGCTTGCATACAGGGGGACGCATTAAACAACCTGGCATTGGAGTAAATCCGGCCCTTTTGGCCACCACAGAGTCCAGACCTTAACCCCATTGAGAATCTTTGGGATGTGCTGGGGAAGACTTTACGCAATGGTCCGACTCTCACATCATCACTACAAGATCTTGGTGAAAAACTATTGCAACTCTAGACGGAAACAAATGTGACATTGCGTAAGCCTATCGAAACAATGCCATGGTGAATACGTGCAGTAATCAAAGCTAATTAAATATTAGAGTGTGTGACTTTTCTTTTGGCAGTCAGTGTATACCCAAAGTTTGGAAAATCTCTTAGACAATTGTCTCCTTTTACATTGACAATGATCAAAAGGACATATAGAGAGGGTGAGTAGGCATAAACAGTATTAAAAAAGCTGACAGGGTTCCTTGAGTCCCTACTCTATATAAAACTAAAATAAAAAGTTTGGGTTTTAGATATGCTTAAACAGTTTAGCAATATTTAAAGAACACCAAGTTTCACAAACCTCCAACGCTCTAAGGGTCTTTGGGTAGGGACAATTGGAAGGTAGTAGTGCTTCTGTTTATTAATCCATGTCATAAACGTTGTATCTTTCAGCTGAGGCTCCATCTTTGGCCATGGACTCTAATTATCAGCACCAGAAGAAGCAGCCCCTTCAGTCTTCTGCAGCTCTCTCCCCTTCTCTTTCTCCCTGCACCCCTTTATTTTACTGGTCCATACCTCTCTTTCTTTCTTTTACTTCTGAGGTATCAGGTGACAGGAGGCAGTGTATGAGTTTGTGTCCAGATATGTGTGAGCCTGTGTGCGTTAACATGTTCTCTGCACAGTTCTAGTCACCCACCGATAAGAGGTCAGGGAGAGAGGGGGTGTGTCTTCTCTGGAAATGATGTCATTGCATATTGGGGCTGTGATCTTAGCAGTGATACTCAAACAGATCAAAAATACATCACTAAAACCATTCCACTTTCATTGTAGTAGAATAGAACACAGATTACTCCATTATACGTAATGTGGCAGACACTTTCAGAGCTGACTGCATCTGAATAAACTTAATAAAAACAAAATACAAGTCAGTGAAAAGTGTCAATCATTTACATAAACAAAAGCACAAGTTAACACATAATAGAGGCATCCCTGCTTTTTAAACCACAAGGTTCTGCAGATTTTGAAAGTACTTAGTGATCATTAACCATCTCACCATCTTATTATTTTAGGTCAGTTATCAAAGGTTGCCTTAACTATCAGAGCATCCAATCAATTTCATAGCCGCGTTAGCAGTCCAGGGACAAAAGTAATAATATTTACAATAACAACAAAAACATTTTTCTTACTATACCCTGCGCAAAACCTTGCTGTTTTCTGGGTGCAGTGACTCCGCCTACAAATCTTTCTTTTTCAAAGAATGTATATTTATTTCAAGAGCTAAAAGGTTCATCGTGTTTACGTTGCAAAGCAATGTTGTGCAATGAGCGTACAAACAATAAAAAAAAAAGTTCAGTGCAGACCGACGATGCAAGCTATAGTAATAATAAATAACTATAAATATTCATACATATATATATATTTTGTGCAAATACATCAGTGTGTTAAGAAAAATAGTATTTCTATTTGAGATCCAATATATGCATGCTTTTATAGCAGTAAAACATTCTTGTAATAATTTATTTGCAATATGTTAATACAATTTTTCTCTTTTGGGGGGGGGTCCATCTTTTGATGGATGGTGTACTGCTTACCTTAACCTTTTGAACGTTTGTTAAAATGCTTGTACAATATACTGCTGTTGAATGAAAAGTTTTAAAGTTTTCTTTTGTATGAGTTTAGAGTGTGGTTTCATTTATAGTGTTGTTCAGGTTCTGAATTTAAATCAGTGGCTGCTTTATTTACTTTTAATATAGGAAGGCTCTTATTAAAGAGGTTTCTAAGGTACGGGGCATTTAATTTTACTGTCCTCTGCATGGTGGCTTTTTTAAACTAAGCAATTACAAAGTATAATGATGAGAAGGTCTAGGCATGTTTACATTTTTAGCTATAATAGTGATCTGTCTGATTAGGCTGCTTCTCAAATAATCTGTATGATAAATGTGATGGGTCAATGTCCTCCTGCTTTCAAAAAATACCTAAGAATGAATGACTGTCCTGAGCTATGATGTCTATTTCTTTCTTTAGTGAAGATGTGGAGTTGAATAATGTAGGCGATATCCTTTAATCTGGAGGGAATACTCTGACACGGCTCAAATCTATTCTTGTACAAGATTTGCTGAAGAGAAAACTTGAGTGAAAAAGTCCTTACAACTTCTGTGTCACAGTAAGCAGGACATTTGATTGGTACTACTGATGGATTTTTTTTCTTCTTGGATATGTGTTGCACACACGGAATGATCGCTGAATTTCGAAGAGCTTGACTTTTTTTAGAAACAGAAAAGGAAGGAACCATCCACAAAGACTAACCTCTTAATTAATACTTAATTTGTTCTCTTTTTTTGTGGTCAGTGGTGGTCCTCAGTGATGTTTGCTTGTTTTGGGGATGATCATTCATGACTTTTTTACTTGATTGCAATTGTGCTTTATTGCCAAATGAATTTATTATGGTGTAAATAATACAGATATAATAGGCCAAAAAACTGGCCTTACAGAAAACCTACCCTATACCGTCTTCGCATCCATCTAATGAAGATAGCAGTGTTTAGAATACACACATTTTAAAACAAAGGCTATTTCAGTTTAATTACGGAATTGCAGGTCAATTAGTGTTTATCCTGTATGTGAATGACTGGCCAAACAAGTTTATCAGCAAGGCTTTCTACATTCAGTAGACTCAGATATATTGTTGCATGGTGTCTTTGTTGCCCATATTTGGCCTGTGCCAAATGTCTCCAAAGAGGGACATTTTTGCATTCACTTCTTGGGGTAAATGATATGGTCAGGGTTGTTTGCAGAATGTCTTGTCTCTAGTCTTCCGAAAATTGTACCTGTAAAGATTATATTGCATTATATCTCTGCTTGAGTACCTACCCTCTCACCTGCTACAGAATAATTAAGCTCAAATGTTTAAAGGGAATGTGGGGGCTAACTGTTAAGTACCTTGCACCATTTCTATAAAAGAGGACCAGAGATACAATGTCATCAATCCACAATAGTGAGTCTCATTTTTCACAGTGTCTGAAAAAAGAGCATGGTGTAATGCCCGTGGCTGTATTAGATTGCTAACCCTATACTTGAAAAATGACAGCTCAAATCTGATTGGTAGTTATGGGCAGGGCTCCAAAAATAAATTTTGGTCATTGTGACCTGTTCTTGTGGATTCTTTTTCTCGGCACTCTAATTTTGTCACAGTGCAACGTTCACCTATACTGAACACTACTTGGCTGTTATACACAAATCTCATAAAAATGTTGTGTCTTCCCCATTTGTTTCAGAAAAGTTTTACAGTGGGTTAACATTAGCTGGATTCTGGTTTTGTTGCAAACTGGCTGTGGCCAACACAGAGAGTTCTTCCTTAGATATTGTAATAAATGTAGACCACAGTGGCCTTCCAATAGGTGCCATCCTTACTTTTTTGCCAGCTGGCAAAAGGGAATTTGTTCCTGTCGGACTCTTTATTGCTGCTCACATGGGGACATGTGAGCAGCATGTGTCTAATCTTCCACCTTCTGCTAAGTTGAGGTGATGATGTGGTGCATGCCAATGGCTGCAGAGCAATGGATATGGTGTCCCAATAAGTGGCCAGAGAGAGCAAAGAATGATTAACCTCATCTATAACATTATCTGTTTACACTTCCCTCTTGTCATTTCTCTATCCCATCATTCTAGACTAGGTGTAAGCTAGAGGAAGAATAGATAGCTCTTAATTCAAACATGCGTATATGAGGATCCTTAAAACCACAATAATTTATCTTGTGCTGTCTAAAGATTTTGGGTGCTCTACTGTTTTGCATTTTTGATACTTAATGAATGTATTTTCTTGAGTGGCCAAACATTTCTTGCCTTACCTGCATCATGGAAATTATTCTGATTCATACCCAGACAGAGCTAGGTAATTTTCAGCAAGGCTTTCTATGTTCAGTAGACTCTGATATATTGTTGCATGGTGTCTTTTCGGTTAGTGGTGATGAACTCACAAATTATAGGGTGGTTCAACTGCAGATTATGACCTCACCAAGGGCCCCACTTATTGGTATATGATTGCCACAGAACACTGCCAGAGATTGCAGGAATACTACACAAGGCGGTCAGAAATTGTAGGCATACTATAGGTGTAGTTGCATATTGGTGTCATGGTGCAGTCGGAAGATTGAAACATAGTGCATAAGGCTGATAGAGATCACTGCCATTATAGCCCCTTTACAGATCAATGATCCAACTCATACTACTGGCTGCAGTGGTCTGGAGGCTGAACAGTAAGTAGCAAAGGGCCACATGTTAGGTACCAAAGATCTAGGTCCTCATTCATGATAGTAATGGAAGAACTGACTATCCTGCTATGGCACCCGTTCAGATGCTGGCCTTCTTGTTTCCTGTGCATCAAAAGAAGAATTAGCTTATAACTAGTTTTCAAACGTATATGTTCTCAATTAAATAAACTACAGAATCCATTTAAAGGTTAAATCCACTCAATGTCATATTCCTGAATTTAAAAATGTGTGTATTTGTTTAGTGTGACTGTAACTGAATTGGAAAAAGATTTACATACAGCATTCACAAAAATTAAATAGAGTTAACAAACAGTTAAATAACAACTTTAAGAAATGCTTAACACTTAAACGTTTGCAGTAGATCTTATTATATAGAGAAAAAGGACAAAATTAAACATAATACACTGTAATAGTTTTGTTGCCATGTATTTATAAATGGAACATGCAAACAATGTGTTTAGGTTTAGTTCACAGCGGAGCCACTGTCAGCACACCTAAGACACTGTGAGGGACTGTCAAACTGACAGCCAGTCCTGTTGGCTTCACCAGGTAGAACAGGTATTGTCGGGGAGCAAGCTATGGGCATTTTGGGTACTTGGATTGAGTTTTTGGGCATATCTGATATATTTGGTTAAACTCAGTCCAAATGTTGCCCATGCAAATGGAAATTTCCATGGCAATTTTTACTAATTTGAACCAGCTATCATTCACAAAATTATCCAACAAACCAAGGCAATCTACCACTAACAGTTTCTGTTATTTTACAGGTTTCATCAAAACTCTTGGTAGGATGCCTTGATCTGTTTCATAATTTTGTTCAGTTCAAAGCTGGCTGAAAGTGGTTGATGTGGCCTGAAATTTGATGTAAGTATAGCAAATGCTGAAAGCTTGCATGAGTAATGAGAAAATATGGCTGCTCCTGTCAGTGGCGTCACAAGGGGAGTGCGGCCCGCACCCTCGTGACACCAAAATGATAGTGATTTTGGTGTCACCCCCCCTAAAAATTTGGGCACTCGGCCACATGGGCCGAGAGTCCGACAGTGTCTGGAGAGAGGAGGGGACCCGGCAGCATACCTCACCCCACCGGGTCTCCTCCTCTCTCTGCCGGCGCCCAGTACCAAGATGGCAGCCGGCAGGCGTCAATTAGAGGACCCGGCATGCGCGATGACGTCACTGCGGGTGTCACCTGATCTCCGTTCCGGATGTCACCTGGTCTCAGGATGCTCCTGTGTACATAATTAATTATAAAAACTATAATATAATGAAGGTTTTTGAAGCACTAACATATTTAGATGATGGTTTACATTAAGTTGAACACTTTAACATTTGTAAAAAAAAGTTGAAACTTTTTAAAGCACAATTTTTACTGGGCCATTTTGCTGTCTTATTGTTCCCATTTAGATTTAATGAACTTTCTTTTAACTTTTTATCATTATTCTTCACTTTGATGTGTTTTGGTACGGACAACCTGCTCTAGATTTTGTGAAAATAGCTGCCAGATCCTGATTGTATTAATTGACAATGTGAGAAATAAGGATGAGCGGAGTAATATTGATGACATTTATTTTGCTGTGAAATTTTGACTAAGTAGAAACTCTATATTTCACTCTTTGCAGTGAACAACTTTTTTCTGTATTTATAGGGTGTGTATTTAGGGTGTATTTAGGGTAGTTTTGTTTTTTTCATTCAATGTTTTTTTGGTTGTTATTCTTGCTGTTTGTTTTTTTCCCACTTTCGTTTTTTTTTTTTTATTATTAAAAAAACATAAAATAATGAGACTGATAAGGGGCCACTTTAGGCACAAGACCAGGTGCAGTATAGATGATCCATAACGTTCAGTAAATAAAAGTCTATTGCATCCTATAAACAATAAACATAGCCTTAATTTCACCTTCTTCTTTGACTGCAATGCATTTTACCAAAATGTCACAATTTTGCTGAAATTTGATTTTTTGCTGAAATTATGGGGTATGGAAGCTTAATTTAGTTCATCTTTAGTAGAGAAGCAGTGCATGCAGTGACATCTATTTTCTTATGTGTAACGTGTGAGAAATAAATAGGAATTTTAGATAAAGATTCATATAAAGAATTTAAATAAATGTTTGAGATCAATTCAAAAAAGGATCTATATCTTCATAAAATGTGTGCCATGGGAAGCATGTATGAGTATCTTTGTTTGCATATTCTGTGGTGTGAAGGTAGAATTTCCCACAAAGTTTACATTTTTTGCAAGCTTCCACATTTTGGAAATGTCCCTTTTGAGATGTTAAGTCTGTAACAGGTGAAAGGTAAAAGCACAAATGTCAGTTTGCTCTAGGCACAAAATGTTTTAAAATAAAACTGAAAACTGAAAAAAAATGTATTTATTTTCTAAGTAATTCAGAGCGTGCACCGGTGTAACGTGTTGCAGATGTACTTGTTCAGGTCAATTCATCTTGTTCTTTCTTTCCAGCCTGTGGCTGTTACACTGGTAAGATATTGATTAATACCCTGGCACAGTTTTTTTTCTGGCTGTATATTTTAATCTTGATGTCTGATTTCAATAAATGGCACAAACTGAAATTTAACGATGACTGAGTTGTTTTTTTCTTTCTTGCACTGAAATTGCTTACTTTGACTTCACTGAACACCATGAGCCTCTCACAGTGTGCATTAGAATCTGCAGCAAGTCAGATAGCGCCCACCTCATTCCTTGACTGAAGGACATCCAGCATTATCTAGCACTTTCTTCACAACCTGTCTCTTGCTCACCCCTTTCTTTTATTGATTTTCAGTTCTTTCAATTATTTGTTAGCTAGAGATGTCTTTATGCAAATATATTTACCTAGGAATTTTCACTCCTACAGACTGTGAAAAACATATTATATATTAATATATTAAATACATTATTAATATGCAATATATTTTTTGCATGCAGGCTGAGGGGGCTGGAGAGGAGTATTGAGGCAGGTTGCTGTAATGTTTTCAGGAAGCTATGTAAAACAAAAAACAAAAAGGAGCGCCTCCATAGTGTAAAACGAATTTTAATGATAAAAACGCACAACTGTATTGTACTTACAAGAAGTCGGTAGTAAAAAGGCATGTAGAAAACAATGGGATGTCAAATCATCTAGCAGCGGAAGTCTGAAAAGATGTGCAGCATCAGCGTCCACTGCCCGTGTGGTCTCGGTTTTCAACTGGCCGATATTGCACGTGGAGGCGCCGGTATTGTTTCCTGTCACCAGCTATGTAAAGCACCTTACTGGACCCAGGGCCTGATTTCCAACAAGGCCAAACAAGGCCTGGCCTTGGGGCAGCAGGGAGTAGAGGGGCAGCAGGGGTTTGGAAATCCTATCTCCGGATGCCCAGGACATGCCGTTTTGGGCGCAAGGCGGGTAGTTGTTTTCTACATTTAGCCCTGCTTTGGCAAACAGGGTTAAATGTACAGTGGGGAACCTGCCGCTTGTTTTGTACAAATGATCCCGTCGATGTCGTTGAATCATCTTGTGGGGGAGAAAATGTACTTTTTAACCCCCCCAAGTAACTTTTCTCCCCCACAAGATGTTCAAACTGTGAATGCTGTGAACTATGTAAAGTGCTATGTTATATAAATACCTGTAATAAATAAAACTGAGGACAAACTATTAATGCACGGTGTCATGGATCGGTGTAGTATCAACGCCGCTCTCTGCATCATGAAGTGCCACCCATTATCACCCAGTGCCAGAGAAGTGTAAACGCAACAACGCAGTCGTTATTCACAAAAGGGTGAAGAGTTTGGAGAAGGCAGGAGAAGTGACCAATCTAGGACAACATGGCTAATTTGGTAAAATTCTCCAATTCAGCTCACTATCCAGTTCAGCAATGTTGTCCTAGATTGTTCACTTCTCCTGGCTTCCCCAAAC